GTCAAATACTAACATCTGTACATTCATAAATCAGTCTAGTTTAATTTCTATCATTAGAATCAGTATATTTTAACATGAATACATTTGTTTTACATTTTAGAGTAGTTCTAAAAATCCCTCCTTAAATTATAAGTAAAGTCCAAATCACTGAAAGCTCTTGATTATCTCTTACAGTTCTAAAGTTGTATGCAATAAGATAGAAAGGAATTCTGTGGAATAAATTAAATTGAAACAAGTTGGAGACCACACCCTCTTCACGTAGCGACGACTGCGAGAGGTTCGGGTAATAAAACATTGTCCTAGTATTCATTCATGGGCACTCTTCCCGTCCCCGATTTTCAATAGGATTTAATAGAGGATTTTTGTGGGTTTGTCTTTCATTTTTTTGAGGAGTTACAGCAACTACATTCACTCTTCAGAATATTAACGTTTTCCATTTACATAAAATACATTACAAGTTTTTCAAAATTTTCAGTTATCCACTACATACTACTACGAAGCTGATGATAATATTACGGAGTGGCCAGTTCTTTATCTATTGATAACAGTTTCATGTTTCATTGAAAAACTCTTATGTCATGGGATAAGTATGAAGTAATTATTCTATTCTAGTAATATCTCCAAAACTGACTAAGCAATATGTAGCTGAATCCCAAACCCAGTGAGATGATTTTAGAGAGGCAGTGAACTGAAATGTGCCGATAATGTTTAGTGCTGACAACGGACAGCTGTGTGTGCTGTTAATCACATCAGTGAGCATAAATTAGTATCTAATACGAGGAAATTTTGTGGAACTGTATAATTGGGTCATTATTGCGTTTCCATTAGGTCGGGAACTGTCAGTCAGCTGAGATTTCGTTTTTTTTTAACTTTTTTTTTATATTAAATTCATTCTGTTCTGTTATTTATAAATCCAGGAATATGTTAATGCAGCTACCGCCATCATGCCTTTTATGACATACCGTGACTGCAAGCTCTATAAAACTACTGCCTACTGTATTACTTTCCGAACGTCTTTTATACCCCTATAAATACAGGGTGGCCAAAACAGTGAGGTCTAAAAGAAAAATTTAGATTCCTTACATCAAGGTGTACCTAAATCACCCCCATGTATGTAATACGATTGTGCTTAGTTTAGGAGATAGAGTTAATTTTGTGATATTTTAAATTTTTGTGACCTTGTAGGCTTTAAACATTTTTATCTTTTTTTTGGGGTGACTTTTCTCAGATTTCTTTTTTTCGACAGATTTGTTATTAATTGCAGATGTTTGAAAAAAATAATCACCTTCCTATCTTTGATTCGAGATACAAAAGTTTTGCTAGAAACATTAAAATTATGCTTTTATCAGAACACTATCAAATTTTCAACTTAAAAGTTCAAGTAAAAAAAAGAACTTCCATAGGTCCAAAACCATTTGAAAAACTGCGCCGTTTCCTGAACATTCATAATAATACAAAAAAACATGTACTTAATGGGCCACTATTTCCTGTAATCGGTCCACTAAAGTGTTAAGTCGGAGATTCCGTTACATGTTTTTGACTTTCTTAGAGTGAATTAATATTGGGAATCCTCTTAGTTTACATTACGTAGAACAGATTTAGAGCAGTAACTGGACAGAACATGTTTTTATTCTCAACGAGGAAGCTCTTTCTCTTCATCACACCTGGCGGAAACTGATGATTAGGCTGAANCTGTATGCTTACGATTTGACCTACCTAATACCACAAAATATAACAGAAGACAAACTCCATACTAAACGCGCTCGAGCCATGCACACCGCTCCTAGCAAGACTGTCTTGGACGAATGCGAGCGCGACGTGGCGCGACAGAAGTTCGCCACACGTTCGCTGTGGTTCGCTTGAGTCACGCGCCGGTCAACCGCCTGTGATATTATTTTGTTTTGCGAAATTGACGAAAATGAGTGAACAGAAAAAGTCGTATTATAATTGTTCGGTATTTGGTTTGCTTAAACTCATCATTAAATACCGAATTTTCATTTTTTAAATTACCAGTTGATTCGGGGAGGTAAGTAAGTTATTTACATATTTGAATTTCAATTGAAATTGAAAGCCAACTCAATTATTAGGAATATCGAATTGTTTTAGAGAGGTTTTAGGAATTATTGGATAACTAGCTTTTGCCCGCGGCTTCACCCGCGTAAAATTTAGTTTGTCACAGATCGTCATAAATTATAGCTTGTATGTTATTCAGGGTTATAAACAATAATACTGTAAAGTTACATCAAAATCCGTTCAGTAGTTTTTGCGTGAAAGAGCAACAAACATCCAGACATCCAAACTTTCGCATTTATAATATTAGTTGGATAATAGTGTCAACCACTCAACTAAATACTACTTCCTTCTCGTGTATTTGTTTGCAAACTATTACTATAATAACGTACTAAATATAAATAAGTATACGTGGATATCTGTTATTGTCTTTCTTGCATAGTAATAAGAGTAATATTTTTCTATCATAACGAAATAAACACAACACATGACAAGACAACCCTGGCGCGACGGCCGAGCGTGCGAGCGAGAGAGGTATGCAAAGCGAGGTACATACATGAGTTTACCTTCTGTTATATTTTGTGCTAATACATAGATCATCATAGATTTACGTATGTAAGGGAGATATTCAATTGCAAATGTATTTATTTATTTTATTAGATATACAAAACATTATTAAACAGTAGGTATTGATACATTGTTGAACCTAAACTAAATAACACATCCATCTAGCAATTAAAAACAAATGAAATGAAAGTTACTTACCAAGGGAAAATAAAAGTGCACTTCCATTAACATAATTGAATTAGCATGAAAGAAACATAGCCGTGTTAGTTTTCAAGCTCGAAGAAAAAGTGGCAATCGTTCTCTGATTAGCTTTGCCGAGTTATAAATCCGTAATGAGTTCACGTTGCGCATTTGCTGAGGCTTTGTAACGTTTGCTTTGCTCTTAGATTTTCCATTCACATGCTTTATTGCGGATGTTGAAAGAATTTCTAATCCTTTAAAAGAAAAAGTAGAGTAGTAATCCATTTAACGCTTTAATCATTCAGAAGACTGTATAAACTATTGAGATATTATATGTATACAAGATGGATGGCCAATATATGATAGGATCTTAGAATAATTGGTATACGTCTTGTAGTGGTAGGTAGGTAACCAAGCAAGAGCTGTCATTCGAAAGATAGAGTGCGACATTGTAATTTTTTGCCATAATTACCACTAACAACGTCTTTCTATAAACCCTTTAAGAGTTATTGAAAAATGTACTTTTTTATATCGATATAAAAGCAATGTAATTATAATGGTTATGTTCTTCGATACAAAAAATAATACGAGGCAGTGTCACTGATGGAAATAACGAGACAGTCGCGAGAACAAAGGACAACATATTTTATTGAAGTGCTTATTGCTCTGTTTTAGGATGGTAAGTACTGGTATCGGAAAATGGATAGAGCAAAAAAACTAAGCAGAGATGGAAATCTCAATAAAATACATACCTAGTATACTAGTTACACGGCATCACGTTATATTATTTTCAAAACAAAGCTTATAAATGTCTTGTCAAAGTTGTCAACTTTGTTGCGCACAGGCAATTATCTATCTTATTAACTAACGAAGTTAATATGGCTAAGTATATCTTGTCAAAGCCGATCGTGTCTGGAAATTGTCGCCTTATTACTGCGCTAAACAAACCACATACTTGCATAATCTGATTTAATATGTTGACCCAAATGCGCGTTTTACTATTTGCAAAGCAATATTATCTGCTCAGTTCGTCCGGGAACGTAGCATGTGTACATGGAATGCTGAAATAATTCATGAACCATTCTAACTTTATTGGAAGGACATAAAATGCAACGAATTTAACTACACGCTTTCAATAAACTAAGTGCTCTAATCGTATTTTTTTTATTGCATAGTCATACTGCAAAATTTTATGGACTGCAGTAGTCTCGATAACATTATTCAGATTATAAATTTAAATTGGATAACATGTTTGGATTCTGAACAAAGGTATTTTTCCGCGAATTTCAAACAGCTTTTTTTAATTAACTTCAACTTTATGCTGATCAAAACCAAATTAATAAAACGTCAGAATAACGCTACGCTATACAACATATTGTACGGTTCAAAAGGAAAAAAATATTTGCCTACATTTATAAAAGGGTTATTCGCGGCAAAATTCAAAGTAGGCTCGCGCCCTGATTAGGATTCAAACACAATGGACTTGCGGAAACAAATTGGAACGTCACGTTACCATTAATGATGACCTTTGAAGTAGAGTACGCTCTAGCCTCTTCAAAGAGTTGTCCCAAAATGATGGGGTTTCATTTCAGGACAACACTGTTGATAATATAAAAGAAGCGCGTCACGCGTATATCTGACCTTAATTTATTAAAACGGGTCCAAATGTGATCACATCAACAAAACAACTCGGTAAAATGTTTCCCGCAAAATACACGTTTTTCAAGGCACAGTTTACTCACTCGATCCATTTTACATCTGTAAAGGAGAAACAAGAAAAGTTTTTATAACATCATTCCCGCAAATGAAAGTGAAAATGCGAATCGGCTACCTAATAAAAAAAATATGATTTCGGAGCCGAAAAAGAAATATTCCGAGGCAAACAACTTTGACTAATTGGCGTAGAATCCATTATACCCGTTACGCGATTACACCGCACCCAGACTAAGCTTGCTGAACAAGAAAAAGAAGCCTAATAGCCCATGAAAATGACTTTTAACGGATTTATTAAGGGCAATTATTTTTCCCGGGGGCGTAAAATGATTAATTCAGGAGTTTGTCGGGGATAATTCGATTAATGGGCGTCTTTACACCGAGTGCTAATAGTTTAAGGGATGTGTGTGAGAAAAAGGTTTGGTTAATGAGACGGCAGGAGTGGGTCGCGACGGGTGGAATGCAGCGACTCCGGGACGTTTCAGTTTCAGCGAGTTGGTACTTAGTCTGTAGACGGGAGAGGCGCGGGACAGTCGTCGCGCTCCCGGCCGCCCGCAGGACGCGCTCGGAACTAACCTCTACGTTTTACGACTCGCGAACAGTTGCAAGCGTTAATTAATTCTTTAATGTACGTTAAAGTGGGAAAGGCGAGTGCATAAGCGCTGCACTGGTGAGTTTGAATGACATGCAGGCATTACTCGAGCTTTCCGCTGTTCTCTATGGATTTAAACTTGACACAGTTAAAGTTTCAGGAGCAAATTAACACGAATGTAATATTAAAAAATATTTTATGCTTGGTTTAAAACTAAGGTGGTGAGTAAAACGAATTAATTAAATGCAAATGAGTACCAAAAACTTTAATTTAGTGATGTAAACTAAGATTACAATGCTGTGAATTGTAAGTTTATGTTCACCTCAATGCTGATTCTGTCATGTGGTAATATTTTAATACATGCAATTAACGATCAGCATTTTTCGAAAAATGTGTGTTATTTTTTTTTACATTATTTTACTTACAAGGTACTTGGTAAATGCCTACTTCATAGATATAAAAGTTATCTCAAAAATATAAACCTAGGTGTTGTGAGTCGTGAGTTTAGTTAGAAGTTTCCATAAAATTGTGCATGTTAATCGAAGTGATTTGCACAACAATTTGACAAAGCGTCACGTATCGCTAGACGATATTAAGGAAAAACCCTTTAAAATGTTTCTAATGTTACGATATAAGAGAGGGGTGTTAGTTTGATAGAATTAGGTAATCCAAGATCATTGGATTTTGTTCATCTAACATCTGAGTGTAAATAAATTCGGAAATCAAGTAAATTGCAACTACTTATTTGTGTAAAATACTCAGACTTATAGGTACCTTGATTTAACCTCTCCCCTTTCTAGAGTTAAGAAGGATGGTGGACGTCTCAATCGGTTAAGCAATTAAAGGCTCGTCTTGACTCTTCAACTAGAGGGCCTCTCAGAGGACCAGCTCTATTCGCTCGAGCGCTGTCCGGCACGTAATTTATATGACGAATTATAATTCTGATAACAGGGCATATTAAAGAAATAATCAAATAAGTTGCTTACATTCCCTTATAATTCTACACTCTAAAACCAAATGTGAGACAAATAATTTTTAGCAATATTACTATGATATCGAAGGGATTAAAACCTTCTAAATAGTAACATATTAAATATGTTAGTTACAATATTTCAGTAAGAAGGTTATCATATTGTATTATTTCAATTTACTTTGTTTGCACTTAGCCTGCATGGCTGAAAGCTGTGTCAAGTCGAATACACAAAAGCTTATTTTAGGCTAATATTAGGGGCTGCGAGTAAAGACACAGCATAAAAAGGCAAACAGCTACTTTGTTTGGAATAAAAGCATGTCATGCTGGGGGTGATCCTTATTGTGGAACTAAAAATGCCTACATATAGGTAGCTATGATAAGTATTATAAAACAATTACTTTAATTTTTCTGAACAAGTGACCACCTACCTATAGAGAAACATTAGAAACAATAGAAATAGAAACAAAAATACATACATAAAACTTTACTTTTGAATGCTATTATTAATTGGCTCAGTGAAAACTTCATTAAACAAGGCTAAAACCATAAGTCTTCCCAAATTCAAATTCCTCTCTAGCTTATCTTTACTTTGCAAACAGCCGTATTAACGGGTCAGCCGGGGCTAATTCCAGACTTTAACACCATTTTCCGGTCTAAAAATAGTTATTTTCAATTTCCAGTTGGAATTCCTGGATTTGTTTATCCCGTGGCCTTATTTATAGCTTTGCGGGCGGAGTGGAGAGCGCTAATGCAGATGGTCAATTCACATCATGTTTAAAAGTGCTCGCTTTAAATACATTTTAAAATACCTACATTTTATCTTTTGTAGATACATTTTATTTATAATAGCTACTCGTATGCCTAGGATAGATCTATGTTGCCTACTATACCTATATTACCAGTTGTGCTAAACAGTGGGGTCACTGACATTTACTTTTTATGAACAGTCAAAAAGTAATTCCCTCATAATTATTTTGTAGAGCAATTTTAACATGACTGTTAGCTTACTCATTTTGCTACTTTCAAAGCAAGATTTCTATAATACTTATTTTGTATACTTAACAGTCATTAAACTTCAGTAAGTAGGTATACATAAAATTAAACTATAATAAAAAGGTCGTAAAGGATATTTGTTACTCGATCGTTAACCGTTGAATAGTTGCAGATAGATAAAAACACAATTATATTAAGTTTTTCCCGAAAACAGAAGTTTATTAGATCCTCATAACCGAATGAATAAACACAAAAGAAAGTTTTCCTGCACTAGGTTACCAGGTATAAACAGGTACTCATGCATGACAATGATTCCACAAATGTATGGTATCCGGGTATCCGGGTATCCGGGTGCGGGTATAACCGGAATGAGCCTTAAAATTCCACCGGGCGCGGGCGGGAACGCTTGCTCGAGTCTTCATTGTTTCTGTTAACTGCTAAGCACGATCAATCCGCGTCGGGGGCGCCTCTAGTTTTGCATTGAAACTGAGCTTTGGATTAGCTCCTGACAGTGAGTAGTTTACTGCTAGTATTCACCTATTGAAGTGCAGCCATACCTCTAAACTCTAATACTCGAGCTTATGAATATGCATTTATGTCGTGTGCACATGTCTACATAACTGCATAACTACACCACACCGATTTTTTTTAATTCAACAGTCAAAATAGTATCAACATATACAGTAGTATGTAGAACTGAAAGCCTGCAAAGAAAAATAATCAACATAATCATCTGAAATACCAACCATCTGAAATATTACTTTACTGAAATAAACTTAATAACGTAAGTGTACCTAACTCGTTATTCGTTTACATACTAATATTTGGGCCTCTCTGATTTTGCAAAGTAAATATTCTTTCACATAATTGGAACCCAAAACTACTCTACGAGCGCCCCGAAAAAAGCAGCTATTTCTGTGATCGCGAAACATTCTGTTCATATTGGGGGTTCAATCTGTGACCCTTTGCCATTAAAGCAATTTTGACACAAGCATGATACATCCCTTAGCACGTTCGGACCAAAAGTTTTTTTAATAAACGTCGCGTGCGATGCAATCACGCGGCCCGACCCGCACCTTATTCAGATAGGGCCCTGGCGGTCACCAAGTCCAACTGCTAGCTCTACACCTCTCGGTTGTTGACATATGAGTTATATTCCTCCAAAACTTTGAAGTCAGACAAGTCTGTGTACACTCAAAAGGGCAATCTTCGCCGGGCGATAACACTGGCCTCCAATACACCTCGATCAAAGAAATGCTCTAGGGACTTACCCACCCTTTTTTATCAATAGCCATATTTACAAAAATTTGACCTATTGACATGACAAACTCAAAATCAATAACGTTTCTATTGAATAATGTGATAGAATGCTTACATTTATTAGCTTAGTACAAAAAGGCGAAAAGTATGACGTCGTCTTTGCTCTTTGTGAGTAATTAAAAACGAATCTCCTTATTATTCATTTCTCTTTATCATTAACAGACCTACCTAGGTATACTTACTTTTTCTTACTTCAGGAGCCCGAAAACGCGCAGGTACTCCATCATGATAATAAATCAATCGATTACGGATAAGTAATAAGAAGGTACGGCTCTAAAGTAAAACAGTTCGTATATGTAATGAATGAATAATAAACCTACAAAATGTTTCTACGTCTTGTTAACTGTAATGTAACTACACATTCTCAAATATGTAAGTACAGCTGAATCCGAGGAATCTCATTACGAACATAACTCAGGATTGTACATTGAAGAGCGGCATTTACTTAAGTCATAATAACCTCAGAATATAGTTGATCCTTTGAAAGTGTATGTAAGGTTTGATATATTACGAAGTGTTTGAAGTCTTTTGTTACATACACATTATTCAGAAGTTGGGTGACAGAAATGTGTCGTGAGCCGTTGAAAGGCAAAGCTTATTACAGTAAGAAAGTTTAACTTCCAGAAGATTTATAGTAATGTCTAAGTATGGTTTATTCAGCAGTGGACTGTAAAGGGCTGTTGATGATGATGATGATGATGGTTTATTCAAAAAAAGACAAAAGGACTTTTTTTTTATTCACACAAGCACATTATGTGTAACGGTAAATACTCGTAATAACCACGTTCCTTTCTGTTTTTTAATCTAAAACATATTTTATAATAACATACCTAATTATTCTTTCAGTTTAAACAAAACATATAATAAAGAATTATTACTCGCTTATAAAGCCGTGTGGTGACGGCAGAGTAGAATACATTTGTCACCAACCCCTACTCTTCCCGCGGGTGTCGTAAGAGGCGACTTAGGGACTACACATCAAACAGAGAATGGGCAGCAGCGCTCTCTGAAAAACATCAATCTTTTAAACTGCGATCTCCAACCCGCCTGCCAAGCGTGGAGATTATGGCAAAACCCTCCACTAAAGTGGAGGAGGCTCATAGTCCAGCAGTGGACTGTAAAGGGCTGTTGATGATGATGACTCGCTTATAAAAGCTTACGAAGAATGAAAAATGAAATTTCTTTATTGGCTGACTGAACCTTTTGTTAAAGGTTATTCAATTCAATACATTTTGCTTTTCATAATAATCTTATAAGCTACGCCCTTACCAACAATGGTTACATTAAAAAGTATTGTTTTCATGAAAATCAAAAATCGTATTGATTATTATAAGTAAGACATAAGTAGGTACTTTAATCTTGAATTCAAATATTGAAACAATACTTTTCCAATTAGATTCTGTATGTCAGAACCAGAGTGTTGTGATGTTTTTAGTTATTCTTAGCCTGTGTTTAGAGTTGGGATTTGAATCGCAACACACACAACTTCCTAACCACATAATATGGATTATTAGAAGTATATTGACGATACGAATTACGAAATAGACCACCATATAAAAACAAAGTCACTCCTCAAAATAGTATTGTCCGACAACTTTTTGTTCCATTCATTAAAGTTCGATGTCACAATAGTGATGTATTGAGCCGTGATGAGCGCGGGAACTCATGCAGGAACATTCCCAGTTTGTGCAGCCCGGCGTTCCCGTTATTTCACGGCGCTAGCATTTGTTGGGAAACTCTCGAACAAAGCTTAAGCTACGTAAATCACTTTACTTGCTGTCTTGTGTCTAGAGATTGTTTTACATATGCCTTATTACGTAAGGGTATTAAAATACAATGTGAACGATTCGTACTGCTTAAAGTAATTAAAACAATGTTAAGTAATGAATCTGTATTAATTTAACTTTGAAGATGAATACAAAAAAGCTATCTACCTAACTTACTTCTCAAAACTTTAATTACAAGAAATTTAACAAAGTTACGTTGAATCCTATGTGTGATGTTGTTTTTAAAAAATTGAAAGCATATTATGTAAGTTTCAAAATAAAAACGAGTCTCTAATTAAATCTACTTCCTATTGAGCGTTAAATGATATAGGTAGATGTTCTGCACCTGTACTCTGTACTTAGTAATATCCCACCGCCGCTTGAGCATTGTGGTGAGCCCACTCGTAACACAAGCATATTTAGCTTAACACCAAGAGTGGCTAACGGATATATTAGTAATTTGTGCAATGCAAATTACCAATAAATCTTAAAAAATATGAACTAAAAGATGTTTACTTTCAGACGATGACGCGGCCGACCACGGCGGACCCGCTACGGCTGGTGGAACGGCTGGCGGGCAGCACGCCGGCCTCCGCCACCGGCGTCACCAAGCCCGCCGCCAACGGCAAGCGGCCCACGCCCATCATCATATACCCCACCGGTCAGTAAACCTCTTAGTTCGTTTAAAGAAAAAGAAGAAGAAAAAAATTGTATTTAGTCCAAAATCAGGCTGGGTTGCACCATCTTACTTTAACTTTGACAAACGTCAAAAAACTGTCAAACATACAAAAAGCACCGGTTATCACTGCCAAATGGCAGCCATTCAGCATGGTATACTGTGGCAGCCATAGGTGAATAGACATTATTTTCAACCTTTCAGCCAAATGACGTCCACTGCTGGACAAAGGCCTCTCCCAAAGATTTCCATAATGACCGGTCCTGCGCTGCCCACATTCAGATACTTACCGCGACCTACATCAGATTTTCGGTCCACCTATTGGGAGGTCTCTCAGTATCTAGGTACATTCGAGGGTTGCGTAAAAATAACCACTAAGGATTACACTTCTATACAGAACCTTTTAATGACATAGGTACAAATCGAATTCGTCCAATTCACTAATACGGACTTACCTACCTAGCGCGTATCTACAACTCGCGTAGCGCGTAGGCTACGGACTTACCTAAGTGCTACGTGCGTGATCTACAACAACTCGCGTAGCGCGTATCTACAACTCGCGTAGCGCGTAGGCTACGGACTTACCTAAGTGCTACGTGCGTGATCTACAACAATTCGCGTAGCGCGTAGGCTACGGACATACCTAAGTGCTACGTGTGTGATCTACAACTCGCGTAGCGCGTAGGCTACGGACTTACCTAAGTGCTACGTGTGTGATCTACAACTCGCGTAGCGCGTAGGCTACGGACTTACCTAACGTGCTACGTGCGGACGTAGCGTATTACTATCCATAGTTCTACACCATACAACCGACAACCTACCGCGAACCGCTTGAACTGTGGTCCAACATAATATGTAAACTACTACGAGAGGTCGCAAGTTCAGTCCCTGCACAATACACACATTTGTGAGCATGAATTTATTATTTTATGTTATGTAATATTTTTTATGTAGGTATTTATATGCATTTACATCTAAAAAGGCAACAAACCATTTTTAAGTTCGTTATACTCGTAATATAAATATCCCTACATCCGAATTTACATAGTCGGTGACGCAAGTCGAGACTCAGCGTAAAAATAATATAACTTCCATATTTAGCAGAGGTGCCACCTTCATCAAATATTTCGATAGATCTCTAGCTCTAGGTCAAGCGAATTCCAGACAGACATCTACCAAGAGGCTGTCTTATGAATTTTTAAGTGTTCTAGGAAAACTGGCATACTTACTTACATATTCATTGATCCTTTTGTTTTTGAAGTTAGGTCGAATCGGGTATGAAAATTTCATATTTTTAGCACGTAGCTTTAGGTGACGTAGGGTACTTACCATTACAGCCTTTGTATGCTAATATAAAGTAGGATTAGGATTCGTTCAAAAGCATTTGATTGCCTATTTGTACTATGACTTCTAGTCATGTTTTTCTTAATATGAGAAATAGATTATTATCCACTTATGCCGACGAACAAGTTCTCGTCGCAAACAAAGTCATAATATAAAGATTAGTGGCATTAATCCAATTACGTGATACGATAACATGGGTTTCGTAATTTTCTGGTAAACTAATTATAAAGTAAGATAGCCAGTGTGTTGAAATACTTTATGATATTAAAAACATATTTTTCGTGGTTCACGTATATGAAGTCACAATACATGCATTGTACTAAGAATTTATGTAATTTATTAAAATGAGGAAGTTTCATTAAAATGCCCTATAATTTAAGTGGGCAGGGCACATAGTACGCAGCAAGGTTCTGGAATGGAGGCCACGTACCGGAAAACGCACCGTGAGACGTCCACCCACAAGGTGGACCGACGACCTGATAAAGGTAGCAGGAAGGCGCTGGATGCAGGCCGCTACCAACCGTGCGATGTGGAAGTCATTGGGGGACGCCTATGTTCAGCAGTGGACGTCCTGTGGCTGAAATGATGATGATGATGATTATAATTAAAATATTAAATAAGGTGTTATTTTATACAAGATCAGTAACAAAGTAAAACCTGTATTTGTACGTAGTTCTGTATTACATGTAGGTATGAATTAAGGAAGAATAACGTTATATGTGCAGATTGTACTCCTTTAACTCTCATTATAACACAAACTTTTAAGCACCAAGTTCATAAAAGCCAATGTACCGAACACGAATTGAAATGACATCTGCTGTGCCTCTACTTGCAAGTACATCGTTTTATTGCGTTTCCAACTTAATTTGCTTTCCTCTTGTTTATTACTCCTTTACCTCGATAGGGCATAAAATGCGAATATTTTGCCCCAAGGGGCCTATTATTTCAATGTTTAGATAAGGGCCGCGTTCGTAGGACCCTTTGTATTATTTCCTTTTTGAATTTGCTTGCGTTTTGTGTACAATAGATTTTTGTTGTTGATTTGGTTCAGATTTAAATTAACAAATGTTTTAATTATCCATTTGATAACCTTGCGATTGTTTTAACAGCGATTTGAGATAACGGTTTATACGCCCTAATTAAGTATAGCGTCGTTTAATATTCGGCAATTAAAGGTAAAATTACAATTAAACAATTGTATTAAAGCAAGGTCAGATATTATACTTTTCCTATCTTATTATTTTTTCTGATACTTATTATTTTCGTTGTCTCTTTTGTGCATGTAAAGCGTACGCTCTTGTTGTGATGTACCAGTGTCAGCCTCTATGTTCCCAAACTCATGCAACCTAAAAGGCATTCAATAATATAATTACTTACTAAATAACTATTAAAATTAATAACTGATAAAGGTCGCGGGAAGAGCCTGGATGCGGGCAGCGCAGGACCGTGCATTGTGGAAAGCCTTGGAGGAGGCCTATGTCCAGCAGTGGACGTCATTTGGCTGAAACGAACGAAATAACTATTAACTATCTGAGCAAAGATTAAGGTAATCCCATAAACATCATAATCGCATTTACCACCCCTCGGATGAAACTGTGATCAAGAGAAAGTTCATATAAAAAGGCCATAAAAATTGCCCAAAACACATTCAATAGGCACACACATGTCCTAGATTTTTTGTGTGGCCACGCCGTCGAAATTCATACCGGAGCGTTTTTACTCGCGGGATATAAATTGAAACCGAATCGATAAAACTGCTCGCAGCTTAAAATAAAAGGGAGTGGTAACAGTGGAGCTATTTATAAGTATCTACTGTATGCATTTTTGTAGTCTATGTGTAGGTATGTTAAGGTGTTACGTAATTTTTGCTAAACTTTTCTTAGACCCAAAACGCTGAATGATCTTATTTATGACTAGCGGCCGCCCGCGACTTCGTACGCGTGGATCCCGTTTTACCCCCTTCATCTACGAGGGGCGGCTGAAAAGTTTTGAGCCTAAGTATCTTCAAGTGTTATTATTGACTCGCACAAAATTTTATTAATTTGCCAATAACCTCCTTAGTATATGTACAAAGTTTCATTTTATTAGCATCATCATGCTTTTAGTAATTAATCCGTAAACATCATCATGTCTCAGTCATCCGCGCAATGTACGAAATTGAAGTACACAGTTGTCATAAAATGCCTCACAAAGAAGAACAAAACGCTGACGGTAATATTTGAAGAGATGTCAACAGTTTATGGGGAGTCTGGGCCTTCATTTGCCACCATGAAAGATTGAATCCGATAATTCAATCATGGCAGGGAGTCGCTAAAAGATGACCGCAAGTCAGGGCGGCCAGATTTCGCCATTAACGAATAAAATAATGAAAAGTTAAATAATCTTGCTCTAGAGATTCGCGAATTAAGCTGTGACAGATAGCTGAAGCCATAGGCATTAGCAAGGAACGTATCGGCAATATTTTTCATACTCATTTGCACATGAAAAAGGGGTGTGCGCGATGGGTGTCAAAAATACTCACGCCACTCGACAAACAGCGTCGAGTCACAACTTTGCAGGAGTTTTAGAACATCTTTGGCCATAATCCTGACAATTTTTTTTCTCACATTGTCACTATTGATAAATAATAAATTCAGCAGTACGATTTAGAGTCAAAACAAGAGTCAATGCAATGGATTGAAAAGGGAAAACGCCGCCGCGGAAATTCAAAGTGGAGCGATCGACACCCAAGCTCATAGCCACTATTTTTGGGATTGTGGAGGAATTTTATTCATTGACTACCTACTTAAAAAAAACTACAATAAACGGGGATTATTTTACTGTACTGTTAATAAGAGTGCGTCAAGTGGTTGTCGAAATAATAAGAGGTAAACTGGCGAAATGAAATCTGTTATTGCCAGACAATTCGCCCGTGCACACCGCACATGTTGCAAGGCTTGCCCCGGGTAAAACTGGATTTCAAGAAATTAATCACCTACCACACAGTTTAGTCCAAATCCTTAGCTTTTTTTTCTAATTCTCAATTTGGAAAAAGGACCTCCAGGAACGAAGATTTTTGAGTGACAAAGAAATGAAGGCGTCGTAAGAGGATCATTTCGAAGGCAAAGTTTGCGAATTTTTTTTCAGTGGGTTAAAAGCTCTTTTACACAAATGTAAGAAGTGCGTTGTAGTAGAGGGAGATTAAATAGAAAAATATATTTTTTATACTTTTCTATCGGCATTTTTAATACCTTAGGCTCAAAACTTTTCAGCCGCCCCTCGTATCTTACGCGGTTTAGATTTTTTCATATATGTTTTTTCCCGCTAACTCCGGTTCTCGTGGGAATTTTGCAATATCCTGTTGTAACTAAGCTTTAAGTTTTACTAAGATACCTGCATGACAAATTTCAAGCGTCTAACTTAAGCGGTTTAGATTTTTCATACAAAAGGAATTTCCCGCTAATTCCCGTTCCCGTGGGAATTCCTAAGTATACTGCATAACCTGCCCAGGAGTATGAAGAATATTTGTACCAAGTTTCGTTAAAATCAGTCGAGTAGTTTTTGTTTCTATAAGGAACATACAGACAGACAGACAGACAAAAATTTTACTAATTGCATTTTTGGCATCAGTATCGATCACTAATCACCCCCTGATAGTTATTTTGAAAATATATTTCATGTACAGAATTGACCTCTCTACAGATTTATTATAAGTATAGATTGATCTTACTTAGTATGTTACTAATCTCTCTAAAAATAAAAGTAGTGTACTAGAGCTTCTTACATATAAACTCAAGTACTAATAAGTATGTTATTTTTGTTACAGTTACACCCGAGTCCATAGTTGTGCCTATCGTGTCATGCATATTTGGGTTCCCACTGCTGGCGCTCACAGTCATCTGCTGTCTGAGGAGAAGAGCCAAGCTTGCCAGGTAAATAACTGTCACGTCACAATTTCTGATTCACGATTTGATATTAACTAAGTAATAGGTACCTACTCGATATGATCATCATGAAGATCCCTACTTAGGTTCGCATCCGCAATTGGTACCTAGTAAATAGTTACTACCAGCAATGACCAGCATAATAAATGCTCCGTAGACTGCCACTATAATAGCGAATCTGATAAAGGTCTCTATTAATAGCAAGAAACTAGAATAACGTTTCAGTCATTTCCATAAGTCATATTTTAGGTCCCCGACAGTGTCACCTTTATACTATTACCACTATTTCTTACATAATATCTTCCGAGCCACACGACCCCACCAGTCACCAGACTTAGAAACCTATTATTATTAGGTTTGCTAACGCAAATTCTCCAACTCGTTTGCATCCATTGAATTGGTAATATAGACTAGTCAGGATTTGGTGTGAACAAGAGGTGGGATTTGTCCCGTTCACCTAGACGCCTCAACTGATTAATTGTCGGACATATTGAACCAATTCTCTGAAATTACGTCATTCCCGCCCGCTTGGCCCGCTAACCAAGCGCCCGCCCAAATTGAAAAAGATGGAATGAGTGATTACTGACAAATAAATTTGGATATTATAAAAGATAATGCTTTCATCGAGAAAATCCTTTCAAATCTGGTTATCATTAAACTTTATCAGTGATTATAATTAGGAGAGAAATTCAGCCGGTTTTTACGGCTTTTAAATATAAACCTATTAGGGTGTCGTAGTTAAGACCAGACGAAATTGAAAACTTTTTAGCTAGTCTATTCTAGCATGAAATAATTACATTGTTAGCTGTGATGTTTCTGAAAAGCAAACGAGCCGTAGTTGTTCGGAGTTCATGTTAAAAGCATTAACATTTTTGTATAGTAACCTGCTCACGTAAATAAAATAGGATTAACACTGCGCAATACTGCAGTATGTAAATATGTACATGCTTAAGTAGTTTATGCTTGGTTAAATCTGACATGCAAACTTATAAAATAAGTTCCACAAACTTTGTCTTTGCTATGTTAATTTCCGCAATAAACTTTTATAACTAACCGGTTAGTTCAGTTTCATCCCTAACTTTATTACGAATAAGGTCTCAATAAGGATTAGTTTTAATGTTACTTTTCTGTCACAAAGATAAAAAAAATATTTTATGAAAACATTTGTTAGAATTTCATAATAGTCTTTGGGTGCTATATTTTATAGCATTTCAGTTTATCAGCTATTTTCCCTCCCTTTTCATTTGCCAATATCAGAGCAAGCAACTCTCACAGAACTTATTGTTGCCTAGAGAGCGCGCCAGGCGTCGTAACTGCGAGCTGGACCGCGGCGAGCTGTCGGTGGTGCGACTGTCTCCCGTGAAGACCAAGCCCCGAGCCCTGAGCCTGGTCCGCTCCCCGCGCCCCCCACCTACCCTGGAGCTGGATACAGTGATGGAAGAACGATCTGATCCTGAACAAACGACGTTATCACAGGTACGTCATCTCAACTTCAAAAGGCAACGTGATAAGGGTATCGTTTTGCGTGCTCTACAAAAGGGTGCTAGGATTAGGGGTGAGGGCGTGGAGGTGTCCGGTAGATACGCCATGGCCGTACAGATTAATCATACGCGTTGATTCAAAATGTATAGGTAGGTATTAACATTGTCATATTTAGTTACAGGTTTTAGATGTAACCTACACTTTAAAATTATTGTAAGAATTTCAACGCAGATTTACTAAAAGCTATTAAATATCCACACGAAAGTAGAATGGAATGAGTCACTTTTAGGTAACTCTACCCACTTAAAAAGAAGACTCCCTAAACTGGCTCATTCATTCACTCATCATTATTCACCCCCCAACTCCGAGCCGAATCTTTTCGGCAGAACATAAAAAACTGATAAGATTCCATAGGTAATTTATTTATATTAGGTACTTACTACTTATAGGTGCTTATAGGTGCTAACTATAAAATTGAATTTAGTAGCAAGTTTTTTTGCTTGATCGTCGTCAATCATAGTAGTTATAATTGATACTGATGCAATTTTCCTCTTCCCAAATACTTTTGACGGTTAATGACAATAGTGACAGTTCAGTAATGAAATAATTTAAATCATATTTTATTCAGTTACGTTTCACTCGATATTATTACATTGTGCTGGTGACTTATTTATGAACAACTCAAAGTAAGTAACAATAGCCGGACTTCTCCACTACAATTACTTATTTAATCAAAGATCAGTACGTGTCTACCTCGTCTGACCCGGTTGAATTATAAATATTACCTTCTGCAAATGGCTTGACGTCGTGTAATTTGGAAATGGAGTAGTTATTTAACCTGTCACCCGACGTAGGCCAAAAGTGGACCTTTATTAGGTACTTCGAAGTCGATCTAACTGTGCCGTGCTATAAAACTGGAGTGCGTGATTTTAGAACGTGTAAAAGATACGAAGTCATATTATTATACTCAACAAAACTAAATGTATTCTTTTTACGTAGGTAAGTGATAGTTTGTTCTGATTGTTAACACACGGTGATACTTATGCATCTGCATTAATTTAGATGCTTAGACCTGCAGTATCAAAGTACTTACTTATGACGTGATGACACGATTGTATACCTGCTGATATAAAAGCGGCGTGAGTGCCCTTTTACACGCTCTACAAACATGCACGCCAGGAAAACGCTACTATGATAAATAGGGGTCTATAGCTATAAGTAAACACAGATTGAATAGAAATAACGTAATTATATCCCTATACAAGCAGGTACCACCTCTAATAATAAATTATACTCATAATACTTCATTCACTCAACCAACAGTTTCCAAACTTTCTCATCTAAAAATGTTATTACCCGAAATCGACAAGGAAAGTTCGTGAATGAGTATCTGAGAAAAGTTTATTATGTTGTTATTAAAGTTGGCACACGCGCGCGTAGTAGCGGGCCTATTAGCAACCGCGTGCGTTCAACCGCTAATTAACTACATACACTCAACCTTCGTGTTAAAATTATTACTAGCACATAGGCTTTATTATTTAGTGACATGTTTTGAGATTCTTTGGACTAAAGTGTATCCTAACACATCATAACTAATTAGGTTCCGAGAACAGAAAGGGTATTCAGTTTTGAGACGCATTTGTAAGTCCAAAAGATTGTCACAAATTGGATCAGTAACAGATTGGTGTATAAGTAGGTACTTACTAATGTAGATGTAGTAAAGGTTTTCAGTTTTTCGCTCTACATATTGTAAAGTTGCTAATTATTGAAATAGCGGTCAAATAATGCGGATATTAATAATAAAGAATGGATGAATTTGATCACGAAGTCACTTGTTTTTACGATAATTTCAAAATAAACCACTCGCAGTAAAATTTCCGTGTGAAAAGAGTGTTTCGTGTACGTGATACCTAAGTCAGCGGTGAATTTCAAAATTAGACTCGCTTTCATCTTAACCTTCCACGTTATTCAGCATATTGAAAATGACAACACAAAGGTTCTATTAGCTCTGTGGGCTACACAATTTTCGGTTCTGTTCGAATTTCACGGGTGGTTAATATTCGGCAGCACATGCCGCACGGGTCGGCAAACAGATCGTATATTGATCACACCAGTAAAATAAAATCCGTGTATTTATTGGGCTGTAAAATACAATAAAGTTGTGTAGAAACTGTTACATTACATTACAAAATTATAAACCTGTTTATCGTCAGGGTTACTTTGAAGGATATTCACACTTGGCTGCTTGTCAAAACCTTAACCTAATTTTTATGTTATATAAAAATAGTTATATTTAATGATACTATATTTTGTTAAATAATAGGTTCCAACCCAACCTACAAAGTATATGATTAGTAGATGTGTATGTAATAGATTTGGTGGCGAGTAGAATTACCAACGCGACATCAAAACTAGGTAAAGTAGTTTGTGGGACACGTTATCCTACCTATGCAAATGGAAATGCCAACAGTTTCACAGTGAATACAAGCGCAATGACATAGGTTCCTAACCTATGTAGCAATACAAGTACCTGCCTTTCACCCTTTATTTAACAGTTTTCGTACTACCTTTAACGTAAACTTTTCTGTATGAAGACGTACGTTATCACATTTAACGGTCTTTAAAACTTTAAGTTGGGTCTTCTAGGGAATACGTTGTAGGAATTACCATTTCCAGAATTCTCATTTAGTTCCTAGACAGTACCATTGCATTACAATCCTTTTCCTAGGCTGAGTTGCACAATCTTACTTTAAATCTGACAAACGTCAAAAATTTGACAAACTCCATACAAAATACACCGGTTATCGTTATAGTTACGGTCAAAGTTAGGTGGTGCAACTCAGCCTTAGAGTAAAAAGGACTACTATAAAGTGTCGATGATTATTTAAAAGATAAAAATGTTTGGGATACGTTACTGCCTAGCTCGCATAAATATTTATAACTTTGTACATTTTAAAGCATGTAAACCTTTGAAAAAGAGGCTGACAATAGTGACTGAGTTTCTTGCGCTGCTTCTTCTCAGCACTGGCCCATTTATTGTCCTGAAGCAGTGGTAGGGTTAATACTGGGACGTGTAAAAGTGCTTTTTTTAAGCCTATTTACAGAAATAAATGAGTTTTAATGAGTTTTTTTTTAGTTTTTTTGTTAATCCTGTTAAACGCTAGCGAACTGTTTTTTCATTCGTTCAAACAACTGCTTTTTGTGCGTGAATTAAATGGTTCGATTGGCCAAGTAGTTACGGCCTAATTGTCTATAATGCACCACACACACGCCCCTGGATTATAATATGGCTCAAGATAGTGCAGTCCCCAGGAGAGAATAAGTACGACATAATTATGCTTGTCGGTGGGCGGCTGAAATAATATATTATTTAATAAAATAGTTTATTTTTTCCCATCACAAACTTATAATACAGAGTACAGGTACATTAACATTAAGTTTCAGTCACTAGTTTGTGTGAGACTGATGCCTGAGCTAGGTATAAAATACCTGTGTTACAGGACATTTAAGAGTCCGTATCTTCGTCATGATAAACAAATTCCCTAATGGCGTCATGCGGACAGATCCATTGTGTATCGCTATTTAATGTCGATCACATTTTTACCCCCTAACGATCGAGGAGCTAATGTGCTATCACGCCACTGAATTTCAGTATAATTTTCTGTTCGCATACTAAAATTCGAGAATCTGTTTATCGACAATCTGAAGCCCGCATTTTGAAACGAAGCTGAAAATTAGATTTAAACTGACTTGGTTGAATTTGAATACTTGAAGGAGTCGCAGGCTGGAATCTATTCTTGGCTGTTAAATCATAAATAGTTGAATGGTGTTTCATTATACGGGTACCTTGATGATTTACTCATAGAATTTGATAATAATTTTAAACAAATAGAAACTTAGGTAACATCAAAACCTGTTCAATACTATGTCTCACTCGAATTGTTATTTTAAAGTCACAAAGATTTTCGTTTTGGTCGGAGTCTGATGTCGCAAATTATACGACTGTCTGACCATCCAAATTATGACGTTTTATTTCGTGTACCTAGTAATATTTTCCCCTTCATACTTATTTTATTACAACTGTCCTCTCCATAGGTTGTCTGGAAGAGATCGCTTTATAGTAATAAGACCGATAGTACAATTTATGTACTATCCTTTTTTATGTTCTTGCTCTGTGTGTGGTTGTACGAGCGTTCTATTATTTTTATTTTCTTCTTAAAGATTCTCGGAACTGGTTGTTCCGGTATTGAAAGAAAACCTCACGGGTTTTAACCAAGTGATGGTCCTCTAGTAGGAATCGCCGTACAATTATTATTTTTATTTGCCAGCTTTATGTGGTGTAGAATCAAGTGTACATATTTTATCTTTGTGTATCAGGTGGAAATAACCCCGGATCGCGAGGTGGGCGCGATCATATTCAGCGCGGTGGGCGCCGTGGGCACGGCGGCGGCGGCGGCGGTGTGCGCGCGGGACAGCTAGCGCCGGGACTCGGCGCAGCTCGGCGCGCGCTCGCCGCTCTGGGCCGCGCTCACCAGCCAGCCGCTCGACGAGGACGACGCCGACGACGACGCCGCCGGCAGCGACAGCTAGCAAGAGCTCGACGAGCGCTCCGTCGCCGATATTGGAGAGCGCATGAAACTGTTCTTGGACATTCCGCTTAGGTTTTAGTTGTGTGATGTTTGTGTCGTTTAATCGAGTGAACAGTGCATTTTATGGTTGACTACCGAGACACTAGACACAATAGATTTTATTGTTAGAGGTTCACCAGTGAGCCGCGTGGCGTCCAACATGTTAACTGTGGAAACGAAACTTTTTAAATATTATTATTGTTAAATCAAATACGCCAACGCGAATCCTTAAATGCGTAAAAGAGTAAGCGGCTTTCGGTTAATGGATTCCCAATAATAAAACGTAAATAGTATTTCATTTCTGAAATTTAAAAATGTATCGCAAAAACCTTTGTACATTTTCCTACTTTTAAGCATCGTGTATTAATGTTGAACATATCTATTATTAACGAAGCTTTAACTTAATTTTTCGGCATGGACCCTGTTCCTAAGAACTGAACAATGGAACGTGAAGGCCAATTATTAAAGATCTAGTTATAGGTTTTATAAATAAGTTTATGGCCAATCCTTCGGTAACATCAATTGGCTATGCCCAATCAAGCAGAGGTAGGTACTTAAATATTAAGTATAAGTCATATGGGCATACCTACGTCCATGACTTCGGGCATAAATGCTCGTGGTCATCACACTACCTAACATTTGCCTTCTGCGAGATACGAACCTGTAACCGCAACCGGCATTCAATGAACCACAAGGCCGTGGCCATTTATAAAATGTAAAAATGTAGGCCTAGTTTTAGGCACTCGTAATAGAACTCTAGAAAAAACATGAATTTATAGAATATTAGGTAGGTACTAAATAATATGGTTAGGTACCAAAAGCTGTAAATAAGTCCATGACCAAAAGCTCTTTTATTGTAAATAATTCAATAATGTAATAAAATATAGTCAATAGATTATAACATTTGTTAATATAATATTGTATGTAAGTATAAAAGATCTGTAGTTGGGCCTGAACTGTACATAGGTGATAGATATTGATATAGTACTTCTGTACATAAAATTGTTATTAAAAAAACAGACCAGCCTTGTAAACTTTTTTAAATGTAATATAGTAGTTAATGATATTTAACATACTAGAAAAACCTTGCTTCAGATGGAAACCGTTTTTGGGAACATTTCGTCGTTGGGAACTTTTCTTTTACTACAAACGCGATTAGCAGTCGTTTCTTTGATGAAAAAATCATCTTCTAGCTAGATTGATTTAACTTAATAAATGGAAAATCCCAACTGCATTACAAACAAATGGAATTAAACAGATAATATGTAGTTAAGATTTGCATACTTAATTATGTAATGTTTGTTTTTCGTCTATGATGTGTGTAAAAATGATTAACCCTATGTTTATAGAAACTAATTTAGTTCCGTTGCATGCAGTGGTTTAAATGCAACATGCAACAGCATGATAATGTGGACATACACAATTTAATGCACGCACCATTTAATGTATAGAATAAATCGGCATGATGCAAAATTATATTTTAGTAAAAAAACGATCATAGTAAAATCGATTACGCTATTCCAATATGTAATTATTCAAGCAATTCTGAAGAAACTGATTTCAGGTTTTACGTTATTATAATAATTACGCGTTGTGTAGTGAGTGCCACATTGCAGCACCTTATTAGTAACTTAATAATGCTCCTTTTAATGAAACAAAATTTTCACTTTTGTATAAAATTGTTGTTCTTCATTTTGTAATGAATTGTGTAAATGTTAGTCGCGCGCGTTTATTAAGTTGGTACTTGAGAAAATATGACTTTATTGGGTGTGACTTAAAAATACAAACTAGGTACCTACTGAAATTTCAAGAGATAAATACCTATGTTTAATAGAGCCTACATAGAAGCCAGTCGTTAAGCGCTAATGAAAACGTCATAACCCTGATGCATGCATGTTTGTGATGTTTGCTTGAATTAAACCACATTACCTATTTCCATTCTATCCTATTCTATCACTCATGCGCGAGTATCATTACTTACTAATTTCAGTCATAATGACATGCAGTTGCCTGAACTTTGCATGAGCGTTTATACTATCTTAACAGAATCTAACTGTAGATTACTTTGGTTTAAAATGAATCGATCGAAACGAATCGATGAGTCATAAGCCGATTAAACTTTACATAGTCGTCGTAGAAATATGTGACTAGTTTCGTTTTCTAGAAACAATAGTAACCGCTTATATGACATCAGAATGTGTTAATAAAGATTTGAATGACATTGCCATTAGAGTGTTTTGTTTCCAATTCCAATGTCTCGGTTATTACGGTATTCACCTTGACCCCTCGACTACTTTACGATTAGGTAGTTGAAATATTTTACGCTCAATATTATGTAAAGCAGAAGCCTATAAATGCACGTATCAAGTTCATCGTGGTCACTTCGAGAGTGTCGCAACAATGATATGAGCAGATCTTGCCGCATGACGTCTTGTTTATAGGATAACTGGTTGCGTTACTCTCACTTTATGTAGGCATCACACATTTTTGGATTAAGGCTAATATGAAAACTTCGCAATTTTGGAACATTGTGAAACAGTCGTATTTATTTCTGCATGCTGCTCCATCCTTTTTCATGTGTAAAGGAGCAACTTTTAAAGCGTAATTGTAGAATTTTCTAATGAAATGTAGAGTCTACATTGTAGAGCTATTACACTATTTTTTGTGGCAATCATAGTGATGGTAATTAAACATGCTGTCCAAAGTTTTATGAGTGCTTTGAAAATCTGAGCAAATAACATACTAATAATATGTTGTAGAATAAGATACGATAAGAAATGCCCAACAAGTTATTAAAATCGGTGCTACTAGCACCGAATAATAATAAGTACCTAGGTCGTTAATCTTTTAAATGGCTTTTAAACAGAGTCTCTCTTCGCTTACCATGAAAAGCTACTGAACCATGCTATTACCGTTCCTAAGAGGGTGTGTCTGTTCGCAGCTTAATTAATGTCTTACGGCAGTCTTTGTTTTAGGCGAATTGCCTGTTCATTTCCCAAGTCGTCGGAGACAATTCGACGCGAGTAAATAAACAGCGGTGTCTTGAAATACCGATCGCATTGCCATTTGTCTTTGCCGTGAAAATTTACAAACTTAATTACGAGATTGCGGAGCATTTGTCAAAGCCTTTCTTTTGTTTTAGAGATCCATAGTTCAAAAAAAGAACCCTTAAAGGAATACTTACTCGTCCGTCAAAATCCAAACCTTTTTCTTGAGGAATCTGAGAGAGTTACCTAATAAATATATGGAAATGAAGGAGGAAAACGGAACCCTCGGTATAAAAAAACCAACACTCAACCAATCGGTTTTTTAAGGGACCAGTAAATCTTGGCAAGTTAGACAATTTATCTTCTTCTTATTGTGTGAGCTATAACAACTCCATGATACACTTCATGACCATGAGCCATATATAGGCTTCCAACGCAACGATCACCAGATGCAGTGAACCTTATCAAATTAGCAAATATTGGAAAGTAATGTATGTATGTAGGACGGTACTACAGAATATGTAGGACTTATCATAGAATAAGTATGCTAAAATACTACATTCATTGCTGAAAACTAATTAAAATATTAAAAATTATAACATCCATAACCATTCTGTTAAAGTTTATCAATACATAACCCGTGTTAAAATTGTATGTACTAGTACTATGTACGGCATTGTAAAGATTTTATGATACGTAAATGTAGAGACAGACGTGTATCAGATCGAACAATAGATAATAACCGCAATGATAAATAATATTTAACCATTATTAATCTTTGCAAGGACGCAAACCTCTCCCAAGTCTTGTTACAACACCCAAAAACGATATCAATTAACATTATGTGGCCCTCTAAAAGCTGACAAGGTGAGATTTTTGACTCAACCTAATTTTCTGATATTGGTGTAGCATAACCATTATTTAGATTTGCCAATGATACAGTCTTTAACTAATAAAATATTTTTTGATAAATATTTGCCATGAACTATTTTTTATGTTATTTTGAGACTTGTTTACAAATATATTTATGACGTCTGGTTGTAACGTTGACTAATTTAGGCCGGTGTTTGAAATTGTATCTATTATTAAGGCCATATTTTTCCGATGGTTTTATTTATGTCCACTGAAATCGACCAATCTGACCTTGCTGACGTCGATTTCAAATAGGCTCGCTTATTGATTAAGTTGATACAAACATTTTACTTGCTGAGTCACAGTGATATTTGTATTTAACTGCAAGATAGACAAGTAAAATTTCGCAATAATTCTATCTATAGTTCTTACACAAGGTCTGTACCATTTAGCGAATAGCTAATACGCTGCAGGCATACCCATCGGGTCATTGAGTCAAAGTAGGTTGAGAAGGTGCTTGACGCAAACCAGTAATGTCCTATCGTCGAGTGATCAATGAATTTATTGACAAAATGAATCAATAGTATTGCAAAGAGCTACGAGTAATGACCTAAGATGTTTTTGATAATGACCATTTGATCAATATTTTGTTCACACAAAAATATTATATTTAAAAGCTACTTAAATAGCAATAAGTAAATAATAATTGTACCTACATCACATGAATAGGTAGGTATACATTTCGCTCTCAAGTTTCCAGCATCGACAGCAACAGTATTTTTCATCTTGAATAAAAACCCTTCCAGGGTTGAGGACTTCCTCGTCGTAAAAGCTGCGCTCTTGTGGGCTGGACCAATCGCCACGCGCCACTCGGCGGCCATTGAAACCAGAACTGTTTCGAGACAGATTTCCCTTATCTGTAGAGTCCCAAATAATCTGGCCGTGATTTTAGCAAACAACCCTTAGAAATATATTTCCTCTGGTGTACATATTCCAGTCAGTATTTCGTTACTAAAATAACCCACAATTTGTGTCTCTTCGACTCGCACACAAATAAGTATAGCAAAATAGCGTCAAAAAGAGATGAGTTCCCAAAATGAAACAACATTTCATATCATTTACAAAATAATACTTTAACACAGTTATCCTTATGTTTCCTAAAGACTATATCGTTTACTTTTTAAGTTACATGATATTATTCGTAAAGCTTACCATTATCCAAAAGCGGATCCATTTATAAAGTATTTCAAAAATGTAAAATTGAATATGATTACCATGTTGCCTTGAAAACCCAATAACATAATATGCCAAAATGTAAAGCAGGTTTAAGTATAATTTGGTGTTTTAGGTAGGTATAGAATAACCTTAACAAAATGATGATGTTATCTAATGAACTCCAAAATTCCCACATTGTAACAGTATTTCGCAATACTGTAACCTTACAGGTAGGCCCGAATGAATTTGCGCACACCTTCACAATGGTAGCAACGTCGTCGTTGCGTTTTCGTTTGTGTACAAAATCTTTTTTTTTCTCCTTAATTAATACAAAGGGACAGTAAACAGCGGTCACACAGATAAAATAGTAAACAAAAACAAATCTTTGCGATATTAAGCAACAAAAGAAGGCAAAATTCTTATCTTTATTATTAACACTATACATAATACCAGTTTACCTCCATACATTCACTTTTGAAAAAAGGGAGGTCATACCTCAACCATATTTTGGTTAAAAATTCATAGCAATACCTAAAATGAAACTAAGGTATTCGATAAGTAAGGCCTAGGCAATTCCTTTAGGAATAATGTCCTCCTGGCTTGCCTGGGACACTTTGACCTATTTATTAATTTATCGAGACATGATGTTTAGTTATGTAGTAGAATAAGAAACATATTAGGTTTTCTCATATTTAGAAGTTACGAACGGTAACTAGGTAGGTAATTTAACCCTTTAAAGCAGTACAGTTAGTTAAGGCTCAAAAGATACTATTATTTAATTAGGTTAAGATTAAATTAAAATGAAACAATCGGAAATTAATATGGAATTAAGAAATCAATACCTGGCTCTTTCCACATATATGTAACATAATCTTTAAATAGCATTAAGTATAGGTACGCAAAAACCCGAATAGGTATCCATTGAATTAGCAGTTCCATCTCAACTTTTGAACCATCGCGAATAGCAGAGGCGGTCAAGGCCAATCTACGTACCCAATCAAAATCACTAGGTCCAAAAGTCAACTTATAAAGCACAGTTACCTGCACAGCTGACATTGGGGGCCGTTGCCTCATGCCCGAAGGAAAGATAGACCTAGTGGGTAATACAACTCAGCCGATGTTGCGCAAGGCTCACGCAAGTATCGATCTATTTTTTGTCAATAATTTCCGATTGTTGCCCACGGCGGTGCAACTATGTCAGTCATTGCAAAAACTGTTGATGTTTTGGTACAAATACTGGTTACTATAGACCTGTGGAAGCTGGAAATTTAAGAAGATCTAGTAGGCATAACTTGGCAAGCAATGCAATAAAAAAAATTGCTAATAAGTTTTTCGACATTTAGCTTTTTCGACAAGTGTCTTTACATTGAGAGAGTCTATCCACGGTCTATCTTTTGATTTCAATTCGATGAAATCACATGTACATTCTATTGTGTCCTAACATTACACTATTAAGTAATAATATACATTGTCTAGCTAGACACTAGCTAGAGGCATTGATTATTCCCACTGCTATAATGTCAAAGATCAATCTCGCGAAAAGCTCGCTAGCACTCCTATTACAGAGGATTTGATAATATTGTAGTATTTAAGTAGTTATTAAAATTATGAAGGCATTACCTACTTACCTGCTTTTGTATTATAGCAAGTATCAGACTTGCCGGGTTTCAGCTGAAAAGAAAATGATAGAGTAGTCCTGAAAGAAATGGATTTTCTCTTCTAGAATTTTTCATAGTATCTTTGTATCGTCTTGTAACTTTCCAAATACTTTACTGACAATAATTTATTTAATAAATATTTACAATTTCTCTTTGCCTTCTGTGCCGGCCGCTAGGCTTGATGGTTCATGAACCCAGCACAACTCCAGCGCAGCCGGTTTGAATCCCGCTGCAGATTAATGTTATTTCGAATATGCCTGACCATTATACAGTGTGTCCGGGCATGTAGTGATCAAACTATAAGGGCGAAATCTAGCAAAATTTCGCCCTTAAAGTTTGATCACTACATGCCCGAACACACTGTATATTTTTTTTTAAAAAAAAAGTATTATTACATTAATACAAATTATTTTGATTAATTAAAATTATTGTAATAATCGATGTAATCAAGAAATATTCCATCTACAAAACTTTGCCTAAGTTCTACTACCACATAATTTGTAAAATAAATAACAATTTAACATGTCACGCGTAATAGTCCGTGAGCCCTTGACCGGTCCTAATAGCACCGGGCGAAATAGATCAATTTGTATTTTAATGTTGGAATAACAATGATCAGAATCGCAAGGCCGGTTAGATTCTGCTAACCTTAAATTGCGTAGAGTCGCCCGCGCACGCGACCAATCCGAAGTACACCCCGGTGCGTGTAGCCGAGCGACCAGTCAGCGAGGACCCGCTGACCCAAACCCATCGACCATCATCCTGTGACAGTGATCTTGTGAATGATAGTGCAGTTACAGTGAGAAATGACAGTGACATAACATAGAGTTTTATAAAGGGTGTGGATTTACATATTTAAAGGACCAACTCAAGGTAAAAGAAAATTGTCCAAGTGCTTAAATTTAAACTTTTAAGTTTTCAGTTGCCTTTTTTCGTAATTAGCATCTCTCCCTAAAAATAATTTAGTTTAAGGTCAAGTTGGATACAAAACACTAATTAAATACAAACTAATAATCTACAATTAAAATAATTAATCTAATTACCAATCAGCGCTTCCTGAAATTACTTTTATAGGTCTTTTCTAGAGTGAACAGGCGTTGACTAAACAGGCTTTAAATCTACAGTGAAATAAAAAACATATAAATATTTTTTTACCAGAGTAATTTCATCTTAAATATTATTGTATCTACATGCTCATTTAAAAGTTATCATCTTCTAAAAAACGTAATTTGTAGTCTGTTTAAAAATTGGCATTAAAGTCAAGGATGGTATTTTAATGGCAATAGACATGGTCAAAATTCATAGTCACCTGTTATGTAAATTGAGGTAGCCGGCACAAAAATATCTAACAGGTGTAAATGTTTTGGTGTAAGTAGGTAAATTTTTTGCAGAATTAGGTATTTAAAATTCTCTAAAAAGTCACGATGCCAGCCTCTTAGTTACTCAAAAAAGATATTGTCTGTCCCATAGAACTTTCCGCTATGGGAACTGTTTCTCAATTTTTTCGGTGCAGTCCTGTTGTCCCCCCTGCTTGGCCCCCCTGGGGGAGCCAACAGGATTTCGAAATCCTGTTGTCCCCCCTGGACAACCCCCCCTACAACAGGACTGCACCATTTTTTCACCCCCCGTCTCTACCGAAGCCTGCAAGTGCATTTATTTTATTAAGGGGTGCGCAGATATCGCCTCAGTGAGCTACTTAACTATTTTTGGCTGCATATTTGCCATATTTTATTATGCACCTCACTCCTATTGTGTGTCAGTACTAAGCTTAATAGAGTCATTATAAATACAGAACAAAACGAGAGACTAAGGTCTCAGTGGTCATCGACAATTAAAAAAAAAATCTTAGCAAACCCTTCAGAAGACACTTATGAAGTGATACCACTCAAAATAAATACAATACGAGTGGGTATTTCAATCGCATCGACAATGTAAGTAACGTAAATGATATTACACTAGTATTATATTATCTGTGATATTACGAAAGATTAAAGGCTAATAACATCTTTGATTTAATAGCTTCTGACCATGAGGTCGTCGACTTTAAGCCGACTCATTAATACTAGCACTAAAATACGACTAAGTAGGTAGCACTCGGTCAGTAGACCTACATTTAAAAGTACTTAGGCTGAGTTGCACCACCAAACTTTGACCATAAATATAACGATAACCGGTGATTTTTGTATGGAGTTTGACAGATTTTTGACTACAGCCAAAGTGAGATGGTGCAACCCAGCCTTAATTGCATACTTTACTCACAGACTAAGGGCAGCAGATGCATGGACCATAGATAAAAAAATAGATTGCTAAGCATGAAACAGTTTATTAACTAGAGAAAGAACCACCAATAATAAATACGATATTCGATAAAATTTAATAATTTCTAAGAGGAATGATCAAGCGTGCCTCCTTTCGATATCGATTCACTTAATTAGAATTAGTAATTACCAGCACAGAGTAAGTACCTACTATATCATAGTACTGTACCAGCCTGAGAGAATCGAGAGATGAAGTACCTACTGAGCATCGTAAATTAGTATAATGTTGTAATCGTAATGTTTTAATTTAAGGAAACGGCTTCTCCGAAACCGGTAAAGTAACTAGAGTCAAACTTGCATAATACACAAACATCTACTTACATACACACATCTAACACCTATGTAGCCGTTCAATAAATTGTAACTAGGTACTCGAAGGTATTAATCCTATAATTCAAAATTGAAGATGATTAAATGAAGACATTTTTAACCTTTATCATCTGTTAACTTACCTATACCTAAGCCTGAAAATTTTCAGTTACATAATTTTCACTCTCAAATAGAAAATATTTTATGTATATTCAAATGTTACATCCTATCTAAGTAGTCTAACGCCCGTATTCACAAACTATGCTTGCTTAAGTGAAAGAGCAAATCGAACGCACAGCGTTGAAAAGAGCTCTGTGATTGGTTCGTGTATCACATAGTAATGTTTGTGAATACGGGCGTAACTACTTAGGTATCTAATTAAACTCATCATAAAGTAGGTTTTTAATTGGCTAATTTCTTAATTAATTTTATCGATTATTTAGAATTTCATAACATTTAAAAAACAAATAAATTTTAATACAATCTTACTTAATAAATTTTAGATTTAATTAGGTAACTATTACGTTTCCGAGTTGTACTCGTAATGAACCGAAGTCCTTAGGAGTGAGTACCTAACCTAGTAGGTACTCGTACAAATCTTTCAGTGACATGTAGAGCGTATAGATCAGTGGTTCTTAACCGGTGGTCCGCGGACCACTGGTGGTCCCTAGAGGCATTCCAAGTGGTCCACGAAGACATCGTAATAAACAAGTGACGTGACGTGATGGATGAGTCGAGTCAACACAACGCAAACGGCGCACAGTGGGCGAGAAATCGACCTCCCCTTTCATAGGATTTTGGAAAAAAAAGTGGTCCCTGACAAGACAGAAATTTGGTAAAATGGTCCCTCGTGACTTAAAGGTTAAGAACCACTGGTATAGATAGTGAGTAAGCGAACGAGAGACGTTTTTCCGATTGAACAATTAGAACCTAACTACATTATCAATAAAATTTCGAGTTTTGTCAACTTCTTCTATTGTTTGACTCCGTCATACCTTTATTATAATTAAGGTATTTAGAATAATTATGCAAAGTCCATCGGCATTTTAAAATTTAAAGAAAAATAGCTATGATATTAATTATCCTACTAATATTATAAATGCGAAAGCGGTGAAGCCGCGGGCAAAAGCTAGTTTATTATAAAACTTTGCATAGTTTGTGAGCCTGTTCCACCGATGCATCCCTATTTGGTAAAAATAACTGCTCTATTCGCAGGAGTCCTTTGCCAGTCTGTTGATTATTTCATTACTTTTAATAACTTTGGAATCCAATTTGAAAAGTGTAATAAACTAATAAGTAACGGTTGACTGGAATTTAGATATTTAGGTAATTAATAATGTTGTGTACAACTTTAGCGTGCATATAGCAAATAGGTGTGACCCGATGTTTTTAAATCGTTGCATGCCGTAATTTTAGAAAATAAGTAGGTAAACCATTTTGGAAACAACTTTCATTAAAACAATATTCTGCAATGCAAGGTATAAAATACGGCCTTATAATGAAAGCCGAATGTTTTAAAATTGCCTATTAATATAAACCCACGTAATAAGTCTATGAAGGGCAAATACGTCGTTAACAACCGTAATGAACATCACATAAGTAATCAACAGAATGGTGTGTATGATTTCAAGGATAATATTTATTGATTTTGAGGACATCTCCATAATAAGCAAAGTACTCAATTTTGATGTCAAGTCGTTGTATCTTCATCTCATTATTGCTGCATCTCCCACTAAAGGACCTGTGTTCAATATTCAAGCATTCAGAGACCAACAAACCGAAATAACCAAATTATAAAGTATTAAAATTACGATATTTTCTATACAGTGTGAGTCACGTTAAAGTGTACATATGAAAATAGATGAAGCTAGATCTATTTTTATCGACAAAAAAGAGGTCAAAAATTTTTTGAGATTTTTTTTTAATTTTTTATAGAATTTTTTTTCTTCCAATTACTTATTGTAAAGAAAACGTAATAACTTTTAAACTAAGCGGTATCTCCTGATAAAATAAAAACAGTAATAATGCTAAATAACAGGCGATACTAAAAAAATACATAAAATACACAAAAAAGGCCAACAAATAATAAAAAATGATACTTTTTGAAAAAAATCTGCTTTAAAATTCGTGTTTTTTTGGTTATTTAATAAATTTCTCCAAAAAATGCCCCTATAACCGGTGGTTTTTATTACATTCGCTTGCCGGACGATTGCCTTGGCCAATAAGCTACGGAGCAATTATTGTCACCTGAGACGATTTTTTCAAAAAAAAATTGACCTCTTTTTTGTCGATAAAAATAGGTCTAGTTTCATCTATTTTCATATGTACACTTTAACGTGACTCACACTGTATATTACCTACTTAATTACTAGGTAGATACTCGTATAAACAGGAGTTGATTAGTATTGCTCTACTATTCTATCATTTTATTATGTAGAGCAATTATCATTAACACGCCCACCAGAATTAGATGTTGGTGTCAGTTTTCTCGTAAGATTCTCACACGATGTCAAACCACGCTCGGCAAGAGCGAGCCCAAAGAACCGTCTTAAACTCGCTTACAGTATAAGTAGTAACTATAATGTTTATGTTTTTATCAAAAGAAATTGCCATACCTTAATGGCAATGACATACTCATACCTAATACTTGACCGGATACGTGTCGTTTTCGATAAAGTTGGCGGCTGGCGCGCTAATTGTCGGACAATGCCATATCACACTTTTATAAAGGCTGTGGTATGCATAATCAAGTAGGCAGTGCCTATTCTCTATTGAATTAAAAAGGAAATATTATAATGACACGAATATAAATTTCAATTTGATTCATTAATATAACTTAACCCCGTCGCCGGGGCAAATGTTAGTGTAATGAGCACAATAAGCATACTTGTGCAGTTAACGTTAAAAATATCAAGCCCAATCATCACCCCCGGATTCTGATTAGCGATTTCTAGCTTGAGCGCGTGCTCCCTTTTCTACTTACGAGTAGGTATGTATAAACTTTTGTTCGGCAGAGTGATTTGAATGGGTCAACTACTGTCGTCGTGCAACTCACTAAACATTACCGCTGTGGGATTTAAACTTTTTTTTCGACTGCAAAATGGATTAAATTTCATACCCAATGGGTCCAACAACTTATAGCTGGTGATGATGGTCAACTTAAATCACTATCATATAAATTCAGAGTAAGACCAGCAGGTTACACAATGGCTCTACCAAGTGATGTGTACTTTAACTTTGATTGACGTTTAGGTTACTTACCTATGCAAACACAACTTATGTGCACATTTGTATTCATTCATGTCCTGGCAACTCAATGGGCATAAATAGGCGATCTTAAGATTGTGACAAGGAGTGACCTTCGAATACCTTAGAGCACGTCAACACAGATATCGAAGTGCCTACCACACGTGCCTTTAATACAAATTTCAAGAGCTCTATAGATATCCATGAATAGCCCATGCATGGTCGTGACTAGTGTGGATGATCATTTCAACCACATCTTAGATGATGACACAAGTAGCTGAATTGATAAGTACCTACCTACCTAAGTAAACTGAAAATAGCACTAAGTAGGTATGTCTGTTTGCTAGAGTTTCGCTTAAAGTGCATAGGTTGTGTTCATTATGAAGACAAAAGTTGTAATCTCATCACTAATAAGCATGAAACACATTTTAAAACTTGAAAAGCCAGGAGGGAAACCCCCAACCACTCGCTTGCCGGACGACTGCCTAAGCCACTAAGCTACAGAGCAATTGTCACCTGAGACGATTTTTTCAAGTTTCAAGACAAGTTAAATGCTTTTAAGTAGATACCTACTTAGTCGCACTATACAAAACCCAATAAAGTTCCCATGATCTAAAGTCACTAGACTGCCCATAACTACTGCACTGTCCTATAATTAAAAATCACAATTATTACCTAATATGAATAATCATTTTTCAGCATAGATAAACTTCTCAACATTACAAAGTTTTTGTTATTTGTTTCAGGAATGACTATACTTAAATCATGCGATGGATATTAATTTGGATACAAATTACAGCGACCATCGCCTTTGACCCCTCGAAATTTTTCGATTTTTGGACGGATGTTTTTCGCCCTCTGCCTCGCAGTCCTAGAGAAGGATTCGTGCCAGACTATACGCCAAATAATCTAGAACAATTTGACTTTATCGTTGTTGGAGCTGGATCAGCCGGGAGTGTCTTAGCAAATAGGCTGACAGAAATATCAGAATGGAAAGTTCTACTAATAGAAGGTGGAGGAAACGAAAACTTCTTCTCTGATATACCAATATTCGCTCCCTTCCTCTCTTTGACGCCAATGAATTGGGGTTACAACTCAGAACCTGAACCAAGAGCGTGCAAGGACCTTAGAGGAAAAGTCTGCTTCTTGCCTCGGGGCAAAGTATTAGGAGGGAGTAGTGTTTTAAATTTCTTAATATATCAAAGAGGACACCCAGATGATTATGATGACTGGGCTAGAATGGGTAATCAAGGCTGGAGTTACTCAGAAATATTGCCATATTTCAAAAAGTCAGAGAATATTAGAATAAGTAACCTAATGAATTCTTCGTATCATGGTAGAGGCGGATACTTAGATATAGATTATTCACCTCATAAGTCTCCTCTTGAAGTTTTATTTAAGAAAGCAGGAGAAGAATTGGGCCACAAGTGGCAAGACCCGAATGGAGAAGAAGTCATTGGATTTTCAAAGCCTCAAGCTACTATGAGAAAGGGCAGAAGATGCAGTACTTCTAAAGCTTTTTTGGAACCTATTCGGTATAGAAAAAACTTGATGGTGACAAAACATTCAATAGTTCAGAAAATAATGATTGATCCATCAACTAACACAGCCTATGGCGTGGAATTTACTAAAGGAAGGTTAAGGTAATTTACATAATATTTTAAGTACCTTTAATTAATAGATTTTCCAGTGGCGAATATTCATGAGAAAACATAGCGATTAATAAAATGGTTCTTAAAATTTTATGGACTGTTAATAAGATAGTTATCATTTTATAGGTTGTTAATGGTGACTTAAATGTTTATTAGCGTCATTAGTACACGAATATTACGTGACCTATAATTAATGAAATAATTAGACGACCATTTTCGCTTCGTACTGTAGGTATTACCCCTCTACTTTCATTTACAGACGGCAAGTATTGGCACGGCGAGAGGTAGTTTTGGCAGCAGGTACCATTGGATCAGCTCAACTCTTGATGGTATCTGGAGTTGGTCCTGAAGAACACTTACAAGAAGTTGGAATTACGCCCATCATGAATCTTCCTGTAGGGTACAACCTGCAAGACCACGTGACCTTTTCTGGAAACGCATTTTTAGTGAACGACTCTAGTATTTGTGTTAATGATGTAAGCATACTTATGTACGTATTGTACCTACAATTTCTTTTTATTTAAGCTGATATGATATAGATAAAGTATGTAGATACTCAGGAAAGTTAAAATGTATGTTACCTTACACCCCTGCCTATGATTAATTAAATTACTAAACTCTGATTTTTAATTCGACGGAATTTTGACATTTCAGAAGTGTTGTCAACATTGAAACGTTCCCATTATGAATGGAGAGCATTTTCACAAATTAAAAAATAACCCTTTCTTGAATTTAAGGTTTCACTTGAAAAACTAAGGCTTAAAAATGTACTGATCATTCCAAAATGGTTATTTGAATTTTTATTATCATATTTTTGAAGTTACAAAAAAAATTGGGAATTTATTTTTCTATTACTGGACTCCCTGGCCAATAATCCATGGGTTACAAACCTTTTTTATGAAAATCCTTTTGTGAATAAAATCTTAGGTTCATCAAATAACCAATTTAACAAGATGCCAATTTTATAATCCAAGTTGATTATGACGACGATAATGATGATTGATGATCAATACATATTTTCGTAAATGATAATATGTTGTTTTACTGTGTTAAAAACACGTTTTTTTCTATTTAAACTCTAAAATGTACATAATAATTAGTGTACATTGAATTGACACAACAAACAATAGTTCATTCTTGTAAGTTGTACTTGATGAAATTTCATTTCATATTATTTATTAATAATTCAAAGCAAAAAAGGCTTATTACATCTGAATTGTCAAAAAATGACAGCTGTCAGAATTCCGTCGAATTAAAAATCGGACTATAGACTCTACCTAAGCGCATAACTATAAGGATAACATACCTACCTAATTTAGGAGTGTTTGACAAAACCTTTCTTTACTCCTGTAAATCTTTAGTCAATTCTTTAGAATTTATTTACCCACGACCGAACCTACTAATTCAGTTTTTTCAACCGACTTCAAAAAAGGAGGAGGTTCTCAATTCGCCCGTATGTTTTTTTTTCTATGTTTGTTACGCGATAACTCCGCCAATTATGAACCGATTTGAACAAATCTTTTTTAGGCGTATAGGTGATACCTCAAGGGTGGTCCCATTTAAATTTAATAATAGAAAAAACAACCCCCAAGGGTGGAAAATTGGGGATGAACTTTTTTATACGCAATATCTCCGCTGATTATAAATCAATTTGAACGATTATTTTTTTGTTGAATAGGTATTATCAAAAGGGTGGTTTCATGCGAATTTGAAGAAAATAATTCACCCCCAACAGTGGAAAATTGGGGATGAACTTTTTTATACGAAATATCTCCGCCGATTATGAACCAATTTGAACGATTATTTTTTTGTTGAATAGGTATTATCAAAAGGGTGGTTTCATGCGAATTTGAAGAAAATATTTCACCCCCAAGGGTAGAAATTTTTGATTTTTAGTTTTTTTTTGTGTTCACGCATTTGAAGTGGGTTTTTTTTTTAAAGTTAATTGTACAAAAACTCTAAATCATTATTATCAATACTAAAACTACGTTTACATCATGCAATTATTTATTTAAACAATTGTGCAGTGTCAACAATCGTGAAAAAAATGTGTAATGTCTTTTATTCCCCAGAAAACCGCTGCTTCGCCAGTATCGGCAGTTCAGTACCTAGCGGGGGGTGGTCCTCTAACCCTACCTGGTGGGGCAGCTGGCCTGGCGTTCCTGCGCACCCGCTACGCCTCCCAGGACCATTCCCCCACCAGGCCTGACATAGAACTGGTCATGGGAGGAGGCTCGCTCGCCGGAGATTTGTTGGGCATCTTGCGAGGCTTGCTTGGTATCTACAGACATTTATTCTTTTTCATTGTTTTGTACCTACACTAGAAATAAAGAACTTTTTACTTTCTGTAGCTAAAGTGTTAAGCTTACGAAACGTTACCTGAAACTTGATTTTCAATACTCTGACCTAAAATGCTTTAGTTTGAACATTTTCTCGTGAACTAAGCATAGGTACCCACTTATGTTCGAAATCCTGTAGCTTTCGAACATAATTTTGTAAGAAAATCTTTTTTCAGGTGTCACCGACAAGTGGTATTGGCAAGTATATGGCTCCCTACCACCCCAAGTCAGAGAGGCTTCGTTTGCCATAAACCCCGTGCTCATCAGGCCGCGCAGCGTGGGCAGACTAAAGCTGCGAACGGGGAACTTCTCTGATCATCCACTCATCAAATTGAACTACTTCAATGATATTAATGACTTATACGCTTTAGTTGAAGGAGTTCGCATGGTAGGTTTTGAGAATAAATAACCCTTTATTGTATGGGTTTGGTCGTAGCACTCTGCATAAAATCGTGTTACGTAAAAAATTACGACCTTGTTTTAACCGATTTATAAGAAACAAGTTTTATGGAGCGACCCCATTTATATTTTCAGATACAAAAAGTTATAAACACCAGATCATTCCAGCGATACGGAACGAAACTGCATAACGTTCCTTTCCCAGGATGCCAGAATGTTCCCTTTGATTCGGATGAATACTGGCAATGTGCTATAATGCAAACATCTATAACGATCGACCATCAGGTAATTTTTTAACATGGTTGTATTTTTGTCAATAAGCACCCTGCCTATTTCATTTCATTATCCATTATTAGTACCGTCCCGTCAAAAATCCGAAAGATTTACCTCTCTAGTTAGCAATTTTTAATATAAATATAATTATCAGAAAGTCTCCGAAACTGAAGAGACTACGTGTCCAATTTGCAGGTAACTTTTACCCATTCCTTCTTCTGCGCTTCCTCTTCGGGCATTACTTTGACATAGCTAGTATTGTTACCTATTTGTTACTGTTTATTACTGTTAATTAAGACAATATAATACTGTTTACGCAATATTTTAACCATGCTGTGTGTACACGTTATTTGAGTGATGATCTAGATCTAAGCATAAGTTACTTTCTTTATATATTAGGTACTTATTTGTGATTGTTACTTGTTGTGTATGCCTAATAATAAATAAATAAATAAATTCCACTTTACAGGTGGGTACGTGTAAAATGGCTCCAGTGGGGGATCCCACCGGCGTGGTTTCTCCTCGATTGGCGGTAAACGGCATACGAGGGCTGCGGGTAGCCGACGCGTCTGTAATGCCGCGCATACCCGCTGCGCACACGCACGCGCCCGTCGTAATGATCGCCGAGAAAGCGGCCGATATGATCAAAGAAGACTGGGGATACCCTATCACGTTATAATACTCTAAATGCTAATTAATTTAAAGGTGGATTTTTGGAAGTACATTAGCTGTTGTAGTCTCTCAATAGAAAATTAAAAATATTTTGAAATTCTTGTTCCAAGTTTTATGTGAAATGTAAGAAACTAGCAATCCTTTCTGATAATACTAGTAGTGTAACTATAATGGTTAAGGTACTTCTAAAAGGTCTACCTACCCTGTATATGTCGCAGTCGGATTGTATAATCCGCCGTTTTACATTACCACTAGGCATTTTACATTACGGCTCTGTTTTGTAATACGGCGGTTCAACGTTTAGGCGGATTGTCATTGCGATACGTTCTTCAATACGGCGGCCCACGTTTAGCCGCATCGTACTACTATAGATTGTAGGGTGACCATACTTACAAAATAAAACAATGTTTAATGAAAATAAATTTTAATAAAACAGATTTTAAGAATTATTACCTTCGTCACTGTATACTAAATAATATATTTGGCTTCAGTATTTTTTTTTACTTATTTATAAATCACAAGGGACAGCCATCTAAAAAAAAGTAACTCAAACCAATTAGACTTTTCTAAACAAGAATTAATTAGATACTTGGCTTTAGTCTTTTTTAGACATCAAAAATGATCAAAGGGAACAGGTAACTCAAAACAATAAAGTTTCAGTAATTTTTTCTGGGTTATTTTTCTTGAATAATATATATAATCATAATTTCATATTTTTGCACTAATAATGTTGTGTAGGATTCCGCCGAACACCAGAATCCATAGCCACTTTATCCGGCAGCGCCACGGTATTGAAAATAGGAACTAAAAACTGTCAAAGCAGCGGGTAATGACACGCTGTTTTACATTACGGCTAGCCGTATTGAAGAACGTTTGGCGCCGAATACATTCCGGCGGATTTTCATTCAGCCGTATTCAATCCGGCTAAACGTTAATCCGCCGTATTACAAAACAGAGCTGTAATGCAAAATGCCTAGCTGTAATGTAAAACGGCGGATTATACAATCTGACTGCGACATATATACCAAGATACCAAATTACTTAGATACCTGCATCATGTTTGTTGTTAAATAAAAATCTTAGAATAACCTACATGTAAACATTTTATTTTTTATAATAATATTGTAACATTATTTTATCTACATCTATAATTATCATATTTTTTACTGATCAGAACGTCCAGTTTTAGTTTTCCTATTTAGAAATCTATAGAGATATCCTATTCTCTTCTCCATATCCTTCCACTTGGTGGGTCTTGTTTGGGGAGATCCAGTTTTGGCCCACATCTTCCTTTTTCTGAGCAAAATCTAGAAAGATAATTACATTGCATTAGCAAGGGTTATTTTAAAAAAGTAGTCATAGGGAATACTTATCCTTGTATAAAATTTTATAACTTGCTTTTGATAATGATAATTTTCACGTGTAAACCACTATCTATTTCTGACAAATCTAGATAACTAGCAGCAATTTGAATTTGTACTTACATGGTATTCACTTCCATGCACTCCTCTGATCCATGAAGGAACCGTGTATAGTGTTTTTACAGGATGCAAGTTACCTGGCCCTAGAATATCAATATAGTCATTCTGACCAAATAGTGCCCTCCTTTCTGTCCATGGATTTGCGGGTCTGTAAAACAATTAAAAAAATAGTGTAAGCAATAATTATTTTTGACATTGGCTAAATGGACGATTTGTAAAAAATAAAAGCACTGTGGCTGAATGTTTTTCCACAGGTATGAGTATTATGAAAGGTCTCTCTGATGCTAAATAGCTACAACAATACCTGTATTCTGGGATGGGCAGTTCTTTGCCTTTGGTTCGTGGTAATACCCCACCACACCAGAGTTTTTCTTCATAACCGTATCTCCGAACCAATCGAGTTTTATCAGCGTGATACCTTGTTCTGAAAAACATATAAAATTTGACTGAACAGTACTTTAGCATAAACACTCTTAAAAATAACAATTAGGTATAATAAGAATAATTCTTTCACGCTACTCTCTAACCATATAATAATTTTGCTGAAAAAAACTAACCTTACTGAAGTGAGACCGGGTCTCCAAAACGCCTTCAACAGTGTGGAGCCAAGCCACTCCATAATTTTAACAATCAATTTTCTTTGTTTTACCTAGATTACTAAACGTAGTAACGTAAATAAAAATTAATCAGTGAGATTAGATTTAGGGGAATTATGGGAAAAAACCATTATATCTACTTGTCACTGTCATTATTTTCATTCTTTTTTTTTTAATTCTTCGTTTGTCTCTGGTCGTTTACTTTTTAATCACCTTCGTCTCGCGTATCAGTGCGCGGAACTAAATAACTTCGCCAATGTTAGCGGGAGAGCGTCGAGCGAAAGGTGAGCGAGTGAAAGGGTGAGCGAAATAATCACAGATATGGATAGATGAAGCATGTGTCAAAAATTGTATGAAGCCGAGCGTGCCACTTTTTAAACGTCATTAGTGTCATTTTAGCGAATTTTAGTGATTGCCGCAACGTAAAAGTAATCGTATCATCGTACTGCATTCGCAAAGTCATCGAATGATATCGTATGACTTGATTCGAAAATTAATTAATTCCGATAAAACTGATATTTTATTAAATTTATAGCTTGTCTGACTGTGGTTTAAAATAATTTTGTAGTGGTAGACGTTATTCTACATTATTTATTTTTGTTGTGCCTAATGTTTAGGAAAGTAATGATCGTTATTCCATTATGTTAAATAGTACTACTAGTAATTCATTCATAAGATAAAGACTATTCACTCAAACTTTTTATTTTTAATAAATGTAAAAATGCGTAGTTTTGCCAATACGTTTTGTTAAGCTAAGTCAGGTACCTACTTTTGAAGATTTTTCTAAACGACAAAATTCAATGTGGTAAAAAACGTTGGAAGTAAAATGAAACACAAAAGATGTTTCTTCATAATTATATTATAAGTGCAATGAATAGTATTGTGCTTTAAGACAAGCCCTATAAAATAATCAAAACAAATCAAAAGGTTTGAATAAAATTGTTCTTCCGCCGTCATTTATAAAAAAGGTAATGGCAAAATTATAGAACTTCCTTAGGCAGATGCCTCTACTCTGTCTATTTCAAAAAGTCTGGCACTAGGGGTTTCCCGGGGGCCCGATACAAAACCAAAAACATCTTTATTTTTCTTTTTAAATAAATTAATTCTTACAAATCGTAAAATCTCATTATTTTTTTCACCCTACCAGCGATTCAATACAAAAACTTGTCTGGTGTATGAATACACGGATCTGTGTGTGTCATAATGTTATGAGTAAGTACGGTTCCTTGCGATCGGTATGAGTGTATGAGTGCACCACATACATTACTCTTAATAGTACATCGCAGGATATGTATTAAAAACAATCCTACTTTATACTTCTTCTACTGCTACTTTATTCTAATTAATTATTTGTTACTTGTGCTGTTAATTACAATTCTCAATCCGTAAATAATTTCTTCCTTCTACCGTGTTCCTACTACTGTCCTCGTAAAATCATCGTAACCGATTGTTGTAATCGGATCACATGAACATCACTCGACCATGTATGTCCATTTGGACATATCGGAATGGCACGCTTTGATGAGCAACTTGCTGCATCTACTCTAATCCATATCTGTGGAAATAATTCATTCTGCGCGTCAGTTTTGTCATGTATTAATTTTAAAATTGTTGATTGTGTTGTTGTTGATGGCCTCAACTCTTGTTGCGCGACCTAGGTATATTATTAACATTTTTGATATTTTGATTTCTGAAAAAGCCAAAACAAAGTAATGCAGGAGTGAAACGAAATCGAGAATCGAGAAGACACTCGCAAATCGATTCCTTTTTAGGTTTATTTGGCCTAAAATATAAAAGTTCAAAACACAGCATTATTATGTTCTTGAATTATGAAAAAAAATAAATCAAACAAAATGGCCGATCGTGTCTCTAAAAATATTTTGTAGAATTTTTTATGGGAAATTCGTAAATAAATAGTATGTATTTCACTAAATTTGTTCAAATATTTCTACTAATATTATAAGTGTGTGTGTTCTTCAAAAAGTTCATATCAATTTGGTCTCAAAAGTCCACAAAACATAGTATAAAAAAGATTTGTTTGTTTATACCCAGCTCGTTTTTACTCTTAATTTTTTACTTTGAAACGATTCAAGAATGATTAGCTCACTGTTTGTATATTTCCAGATAAATTCTGGTCAAATTTAATACAAAGACGATAATTTATTTCCATTTATCTCCTAAATTGGCGCACTGGGCGGGCGTTCTACGCTATTGCGTTGTTTGTTTACTTTTAGTTTAGTTTGTAAACCTGATCTAGACTTTTAATCAATGAAACATAATTGGCTTGCAGTCTGTATAAAATACAATATTTTACTTCCAGGTTTGCCTAAAATCATAGTAAAACATGTCCAAAAGAGAACAAGGCGAGCGAAATGACAGAAAATTGGAGTCGAGTGATTATGAAAACATCTTATCACAACATAGTATATTCGAAACTGCGAGATCAAAACATCAAGAGTTGCCGAGTTTTCCTGGTTTTTCAAATGCTGAGACACAAACAAAATCTACTGATCTCAAAGGTCAGTCAATGCAATCAGGTCTAGGAACTTGGCATTACAATCCCTGGTGGATGCTTGCCAGTACCTCTAGAACTTTACCCTCACAAGACGATTATTCAGAAAATAGTGAGCAGGCAAAGGTTAAACAGGAACCCTCAGGTGCAGGCACTCCTGACCGTGACCCGTTGCAGATTGATGTTGAGCCTTATAGATCAGGTACTACCCCACCACCAGGTATGGACTCATTTTGTGATGATTGCTCAGATCCATTTTGTGATTCAAGCACCTCATTATGCCGAAAGCTGTTCCACTGTCCACACTGCAGGAAAAGTTATCCTACTATATTGGAGTTCAACACCCACCTTACAGGAGTACATCCAGCACAGAAACCTTTCCGATGCCAAATTTGCTTAGAACCATTTCACAAAAAATCTCATCTTCGCAGACATCTTGACTCCAGCCACTCCAGAAAAGATGTCAATAAATGCTCAGTTTGCTCCAAATACATCAAAGACAAAAGTAACTTGCGTAAGCATATGCAAGTTCACACTGGAAGAGTACCTCAAAAACAATTCAAGTGTGATATGTGCAATAATAAACGCTATATGTCCCTGGATAGACTTAACAACCACAAGGTGGTATGCACTGGAGAAAAAATCTTAAAATATTGTGACATGTGCACTAAGGTCTTTGACAACTCAAGATCTTTAAACAGCCACAAAAAAGTTCATGCTCGAGAATTAAAATGCGACATATGCGGCGAGCAGTTACGTTCTTTAGAACAGTTTGCAAACCATAAAATTATATGTCAAGGGACATCATCGGAAGCAAGTGGCAGTCAAAGTGGTTCTGCAAGTGCTGGTGGCTCTACTTTAAACCGATGCTGCACTCAGCCAGGACTGTGCGAACATGACAAACCTGCTTACCTAAACATACCTGGGTATGCTGCAGGAAGAGTACTGGATGCTACTCTGTCCTCCTTAAAATCTGAAATAAATTGATGATATGATGTGCTGCATATAATTTACAGAGTTAATCATTTTAAATAAACAGATTTCTTTTTACAATATTACCAAATAGTTGAAATAATGACCGTTAACAATTTCACAATTGAGAACTTCACAAGACTGATGCAAATATCCCGCCTCACGACTTGCTTTATTATTACCATTAAAAATTAGTGTTTAGTTAGTAGGATTACAAAATAGACTAAGCTGCATTACTGTTTGAACATATTCAAAAGCCTAATTGAAGGAGAGTGAAAATTATTTCAAAATAAAATATTCCAATTCCCACCGAAGTTATTACATTTTAGAAATAAATTGTCTCTCATATGGATGTGTCAGACACTTGATTGTGTTTCAATTTGGATATGTTCAAATAGTTTTATTATCTATAATTTTGTATCTTAAAAGTTAATTATGAAGCATATTTGTTCAGCAAGAACAGAGCTTTACTAATAATACTAATTATTAGATTTTAATCTATATTGTGCAACATTTATGTTCATTAATAAATTGACCATTGTGAGGTACAGATTTATGTTCATTGGACTGTCACTTTACATTATGTATAACAATATCTTGACTGATTTAGAGTAATATATTAATTATGTGCAGTATTACAACATTTCATTTTTTATTTTTCTATATTGAAAGAAAATAAGAGCTATGTTATTTTTATAGTTTTAGATCATATTGTTATAAGTTACTTATTTACCTTCTTTGTTAATATTTAAGTAGTCAAGGAGACTATGTGGATGACATTGTACTTTCCAATGTTCTGAAGTACTCCAAAGACAGATAAAGCTATAATATTTTACTGCTTTTAACACATCATTTACTAGTGGTACTTTTATTTCATAACATGGACCTGTAGAAGTAAGAAAATTTTAAGAGTGCAATGAAAATATTGGCAAAGCCTTGCAAATGTTATATTAATGGGACAAATTGTTGTCTTCTCTGTGCCCAACATATTTATTCACGAAGTGTTATACACTGAAAATTTTTTGCTGCAATTTATAAAACTTTTGTAATTAGAATGTTTTTATTACTATACATAATTATTATTATTCATTGTGTATGTAATGTGTATAATCCTAATTGTAAGGATTGAGGCTATAATCTATTATTCTATGTTATCAGGCCTATCCTGCCTGATATTATAGCAGTTATTATGTATAACTCATAACTTTGAGTATACACTTTTGATTCTTTTTTTTTTTAATTTTATTTATTTAATCAATGTTATTTGAAAAAAGTACTTTTATCTAAGGCTTTATCATAATTACTATTAGTTGTTGCTATTTACAATTGTTTTCACACTTATAGCCTTGTTTATTTTATAATATATAGATTTAATAAGAGTAGTTTTATATTTCTTATTATAATAGAGAGACAATCATTTGCAAAAAGAGTTTGGTTACAAGTATGCAATGAAGATGAGCACACCACAAAGTTCTATTGTCCAAAGTATGTTTGTTATAGGCACAGAGCATATTGGTGTAGGTAAAGTAGGTGTAGGTTCTTGCGGTAGTGTAGCGGTGTGGGTGGTTTTGTTTGTGTTACTTCAAACGCCATCCATTGAGATTTCAGATGCGCTTCATGCACGTATACCGTAGCTCTGTTCACCACAGTCATGTCACCCCTCTGCATCACTACTACTGCAAGAATCTACCAAGTTATGAGTTATGTCTCTAATAATTATCCTTTCAAATAGGCCGATTTCATTAATGATTGAAATTAAAACTTATATTTTTAATACTGTTATAGAGAAGAATATGGAAACCAAACTTTCATGCGGTAATGAGCGACAATAAAATTATTCAATTTTGTTAAGTAGGTATTAGAAGCTAGCCACTATACCTACTTATTATATCTTATTTTCAAGTATGTTGGCACGGACTACAACTTCAAATTGAATAAATTTAAAACTTGATTAATGTTAGGGATTTTTTCCGAAAGGACATTTTTGTAATGATCATTGAATAATGAATAGGTACTTCATCATAATTCGAATATATCATCTACAATAAATAAATTATCTACGTACATAAATTTTATTAAATTCGTAATAATCATTGACCATCAAGCTAAGCTTTTACATTTATTCAATTACATGTTGTATACAGGCTGATTCTTAAAGTGCAGAACGAAAGGATTTGATACCTATTTCTCAAATTACAACAACTAATCTAGACCACCCTCTGTAACCCAATCTAGACCTAGTGATAGGGGAAATCTAAAAAACATCTAGTAGTTTTAGAAAATGGTATATTTTTTGTGATTTAGATTTTGATCCTATAAGTTGTTTTTAAAGTAATAGAATCAACTCTTCTCATTTTGCACTCATTCTTTATGTTAATAAACGCTGGTGGAATTTAACATCCTTTGTAGACCATACAATTAAATTAAAAGTTCTGTAAGTATCTCGGTTCACTTGTATGTACGTACGTATTTACAAGATAGAAAAAGATCATTAAGGGGTAATCCTGTAAGTTTTTTGTACGTACTGTCGCCGATTACCTTTGATATTTTCAGTTACCATTATCACCGAAGCTTTTCCCTTTCGATAGCTAATAAAAATGATAGCATGTCATTCTCATCTTTTTTTACTGGTACCGGAATAGTTAGACATATTTACGCCGGCTTAGCGTAATCAATCCCAATTTAAATCAAGTTAACAGACAGATTTGGGTTGGGATTGATTTATATGGAAAGCGGGCGATAATGCTATTCTGCAACTATACTGTTCTTGAATTTTGCATGCATTTGCTGAAATCTTCCATTCATGCCGCAAACCACAATTTAAATATTGTTTGTTCTTGAGAATAGATTAGTACCTACTGGAATGGTACCGGAAATAAACCAATAGCTTAGCTCTTTTGTCTCTGTAGTTATAATTACATGGCATGGTGTGTATTTTGGATGCACCTAGAAATAAGAAAAAATGTGTTCATATGAATTTAGTTACATAGAGTATAGTTTATCTATTAGTGCTGTAGACTGTGAAACAGTGTAATTTTTCGTTAGTATTAAAATACTTTATTTACTCTAAAACTATCCTTTCGCAATATATCAATGTATAACCAAACTATTGGTACTTATAAGTTAATTAGGGTTTTATTCTTAAACTTTCATAATTATATCATTACGCAGGATTTAAGTTCTTGGAGAGCATTGTTCCGTAAAGTACCTGCCTGAAATAGGACCTTCAGTTGACGTTTGTACGTATAATAAAACCTGCAAAGAAATAAATAGTGTTTTTCTAAATTACACCTTCCTAATTATTTTAACCTGAGTTAACAGACATCGGAATTTGTATTTTAATACAAAATCGCCCATTTTACCCATTAAGTTGTCAGTGTTTGTGCTTTTAATAATACGTTAGTATAATAACACTGGTCAACAAAATTTTAACTTTATCGTGCCACACGGACTTTTGTGATATTTTTTACTTTAATTGGTGATTGTAAGAAAAAATAAACAGTTAAAAAAAATTAGCTAGATAAGGGTTTTATTATATTGAGTAATTTAAAATATTAAGAAAAAACACAGATTTCGTATGTCAAAAGCTTATTTTTTTTATAAATGACTTAATAATCTAAGATTTTCTTCAATATTTAGCTTCTGGTTGGTCCCTTTTAATTGTCCAGCAGTAATCTGCGAACACAATTGGGCTCCATATGCCCTGGTACCGATTTTCCATATTAGAAATGACCTGATGGAACCTCTCACCGTGCTCGTCGCTGACAGCCCCTAAATTGTCAGAAAAATATCCAGGTGCGAGTCTAAAAAATGGATCTGAAGTGACATGTTGCAACCCAACGCTTGATATGACAATAATAGCTCGCTAACCAACTCTCTGTAGCTGTTACTCTTGTGGTTACCCAAAAAATTTACAACAACATTTTTAAAAGCCTTCCCTATGCAGATTTTTCTAAATCGCTTAATTTTTCTTCAAATCTTGAATCATTTATTAACTCCCTAATTTGAGGGCCAACAAAATTACCCTCTTTTATCTTTGCATCAATTTTTAGGGACAACACATTGCCCTGAAGTGGACGGTTGTGAATTGTCGTTCTCAACAGAGACGTAGTTGCAACTGGTATTAGTTCTGGCAATTTTTTACAATGAGAGACTGGTCTTAAAGCCGAAGATAAGTTAGGGTAAATAACTGTGTTTTTTTTCTTGTAATTTATACCTTTTATGTCAGTGAGACAAAAATAGCAATCAGAAACGTGATCTCGCTGTTCAGTCCATATCATAAGTAAGCAAACGGCATAGATCGTGCACCTTTGTTCTAGACATGAGGGGATATTATGCAACAGACATGAGGGGCCCAGGATTTGTCTTGATAACGACAGAAAAACCAAAACATTGGTGATAACACTCCAACACAAGATTCGTAAAATTTCGTCTTTGTTTTTTGAATGCAAGTTCTCCGCAGACATAACAAAAAGAGTTAGGATCATTATTACACTTCCTCGACATGTTCACAGGGTTAATAAATCCAAAAAAGTGTTCAAATTCAACGACAATTTTTTTTTATAACGATTTACTTGTAAGCGTTTCTGTTAATTTACTGCCGTAGTGCTAGTTATGAGTATTACCGTATCACAACAAATATGAGGCTAATTGACATATGACAACTGTGTTTTAATAATGAGGGTAGATTGATAAAACAGAATTAGCTATCAAAGTTCGTGTGGCAAAACCAGTGTTGACCAGTGTAATTTGTACTAACGCGATTCGTCTTATACTTAGATTGAATAGAATGCCTCTACCACCTTAGATTAATAAAGATTTATTAATCGTCTACCACCAACCAACCAACCGAGCAGAATTTTGGGAATCGAACCCGGGACCACTGGGTGGTGTTGACTGGTTGTGTGTGACGCGAGCGGTCTTACCACTAAACCTCAGAGGCGGTTATTAGCATTGCCGCGGTTTGGAAATTTAATAGGTAGGTACAAATGCAAAAACAAATGTTTTGTTACTACCCAAACACTTGGGCCTAATTCATAGAGTAATAAAAAATAACAATTCCACAGCAATTAATTATCTTGCCAGCTTTAATAACTAAGACGCGCCCCACCACACCAATTTTTGGTCGATGGAAGCGCGGGATGCGGAGTTTGATCCGAGCGTCATTATTGTAGTGTGTGTGAATCCACACGGATGATTTAACGTGTACCTACCGATAACACTCAAACATTATAAGGGGCCGTTCAAGTATTACGTAAGCACCAAGGGGGGGTGGGGGGTCTCTGTTTTGCTTATTTTGGATGACATGGGGGGGTAGGGGGGTCTAGATGAAGATTACGTCATCGTTACTTATTTACGTTTTTTCGGGGATTCCCGCAAATAATACATATGCGTAGGCACTCGCTTTGAGAACTGATTAGGGGAATTACCGCACATTAGGGAAATTACCGTGCGCTATTCACTTGTCTAATAATTAACTTTCGTGCCGACATTGCCCATTGAAATTTGAGAGTCGTAGTCCGCATAAAATATTATTATACGCAAGGCCGGCCTCCCGCGCGCGTGTTTTGTTTGGATACTAAACGTATTGTAAGCATTGAAAGTTATCATTTGTGTTTATGTTGATGCATAATTGATGCAATTATGTTTGTTATGTTATTTTTTTCTGATTACATTTTTTGTTCCTACTCTATGTGTATCAGTTAAATCTAATATTTTCATGAATTTTCCTATTTTAAAAATGACAATATAAAAACATTTATAACAAAATGTTTACGTAAGCATAGGGGGTAAGTGCTTTGCTTACTTTTGATGACAAGGGGGGCGGGGGGGTAAAAAATGGTAAGAAATGAACGGCCCCTAACGAAAGAATGGCGGGGCGCGTCTTTGTGGATGAAACTATCTATCTATACCATAATGACGTACTTAGTTGGAATAAAAAGAAAAATTACAAACATAAAATTTCATATATTTTTACAATCATAGTCATGTTACAAAACAACACGCCCTCTCTTGACGGCTGCCTTCACTATTTTCGACTTCTTTTCTTTCTTCTTTTTACTTATATTCTCTTTTCGTTTCTTCTGACTTTCCATTTTCTTTTGTTCAACACTTTGAATCCTATTTTCCCATTTCTTTTTACTTTGCTTCTTCTTTTGTTCCTGTAAAAATAATTAAATAACTTTTAAAATCCAGCCACTTAGAGGTAGTGACAGCAAAGGGGACAGGTGGAAATTAATGAATAATTTCAATAGCTTTAGTATCATAATATTAAAATTCATGCATTATGTAAATAAGACCTCTCCATGCCTATGGAAAATGCTGATAATTATTTTGAAATTAATAAATAATATTTTTTAAATTTTTTACTGCCCAGGAACTTTTTTATGACTAAATTTTAATATTACATAATATCCAAATTAACTTACCATTTTTTTAATAGACTTCTTCAAGAGATTAGGATCATCTTTGACTTTTTGGCCTTCAGCTTTTTGAAGAACATTTTTCCATGCAATTTTTTCTTTTAATTCTTTTGCTTTGCTATTTCCAGACTCTTCTAGTTCTCGAATTTTTTGCTCTTGTTCCTTCAAATTGTCAAGTATTTTTTTGGGGTCTTTCTGTGATTTTTGAACTTTAGCTGAAAAGTTATTCAGAAGGTAATGGTTAGTGTTAGCCTTTTTAATCAAAATAGATTAGGTTGATAGTAAATTATAAAAATTGCACAAAAGAAATGTATAAAATATTTCTTACCTTTATGACCAATATTTGCAAAGTCAAATTTAGAAAACACCAATTTCCCATCTGTATTAAACACTGGTTTAGCAACATTAACATTTTTCTNATCATTTGTGTTTATGTTGATGCATAATTGATGCAATTATGTTTGTTATGTTATTTTTTTCTGATTACATTTTTTGTTCCTACTCTATGTGTATCAGTTAAATCTAATATTTTCATGAATTTTCCTATTTTAAAAATGACAATATAAAAACATTTATAACAAAATGTTTACGTAAGCATAGGGGGTAAGTGCTTTGCTTACTTTTGATGACAAGGGGGGCGGGGGGGTAAAAAATGGTAAGAAATGAACGGCCCCTAACGAAAGAATGGCGGGGCGCGTCTTTGTGGATGAAACTATCTATCTATACCATAATGACGTACTTAGTTGGAATAAAAAGAAAAATTACAAACATAAAATTTCATATATTTTTACAATCATAGTCATGTTACAAAACAACACGCCCTCTCTTGACGGCTGCCTTCACTATTTTCGACTTCTTTTCTTTCTTCTTTTTACTTATATTCTCTTTTCGTTTCTTCTGACTTTCCATTTTCTTTTGTTCAACACTTTGAATCCTATTTTCCCATTTCTTTTTACTTTGCTTCTTCTTTTGTTCCTGTAAAAATAATTAAATAACTTTTAAAATCCAGCCACTTAGAGGTAGTGACAGCAAAGGGGACAGGTGGAAATTAATGAATAATTTCAATAGCTTTAGTATCATAATATTAAAATTCATGCATTATGTAAATAAGACCTCTCCATGCCTATGGAAAATGCTGATAATTATTTTGAAATTAATAAATAATATTTTTTAAATTTTTTACTGCCCAGGAACTTTTTTATGACTAAATTTTAATATTACATAATATCCAAATTAACTTACCATTTTTTTAATAGACTTCTTCAAGAGATTAGGATCATCTTTGACTTTTTGGCCTTCAGCTTTTTGAAGAACATTTTTCCATGCAATTTTTTCTTTTAATTCTTTTGCTTTGCTATTTCCAGACTCTTCTAGTTCTCGAATTTTTTGCTCTTGTTCCTTCAAATTGTCAAGTATTTTTTTGGGGTCTTTCTGTGATTTTTGAACTTTAGCTGAAAAGTTATTCAGAAGGTAATGGTTAGTGTTAGCCTTTTTAATCAAAATAGATTAGGTTGATAGTAAATTATAAAAATTGCACAAAAGAAATGTATAAAATATTTCTTACCTTTATGACCAATATTTGCAAAGTCAAATTTAGAAAACACCAATTTCCCATCTGTATTAAACACTGGTTTAGCAACATTAACATTTTTCTTCTCAACCTCTTCTGTCTTAATCTGACTATGATTTGCTTTGTCAATTTTTTCCTGTGCATTTGTTTGGTTTTTGTTGAGCCGTTCTCTTTTTTTTATTTTCTTATTTAATTTACTGCTCAAGCTCTTTTTTACCAATTTGTTTTTGAAGCTGAAGTTGTTCTGTGTCTTGAGCTTCTGTAATTTTTCCTCCAGCTCCGTTATGTTACGAGCTCTCTTACGCACTTCTTTATTTTCATCTTTAGGTTCATGTATTATCTCAATATCAAGGTTATCATTTTCAACTGGAATGAATTACACATTTTATGAGTTATTTGTTATTTCATAGAAAACAGACAAAATGCATTGTTCTCAAGAAGCATTAAAATTGTAATTAATTTTGAATTAGCGGGAATTTAGCAATAAATTGTTATTGTACCATTATAGTTAATTAGCATGCCTTTCCCTTCCTATTTTAATTGAATTTATACTGACCTCTTGAATGCATGGGAATGTTTAACACTGAAAATACATTTTTAAGAAACTTTATTTCTTTTCCAAGAGAAACCTTTATTTCTTTCATTTTTAAGCTCTTCTTCTTGACTGACATTGTAATGTTTTATAAGCAACTTTTTCTGTGGAATACAGGAATCTATTAGACCCTTGTATTTTAAAAATATTCACACGGAAAAATAACCTCAAAATCTAAATCTGTCACCTCTTCATTTTTTTTTCTAGTCTATGGCCAGATTGCCATAGACTCAAGTCAAGCATGTGGTAGTGATGGGACATCACAATGATATGAAATCGAATATTTCATTGATTCTGCAAAAACCCTTTTTCCCAAAACCATAGCACGTGATGGCTAATATAATCATCAGTGGGCATAAGATGGTTGCAACAAAAAATCAAATTATTGTTGTAGCTCTGCCGTTGGCTCGTCGCCAGTTATTCCAAAATCCCTGCGCCATGTGATCACGGTTTCATGGTTCAAAAATGAAAAAAAAAAATTGACAGAACAACACAATTTGAAAGCGCGGGAAACGTCAAGCTAGGCGGTTGTCTCAATTTTTGCTTTTGCGATTTTTATAAATTATCTAGTAAATAGAGATCAGTTAAGTAGTGGAGTGTAGTATATTTATGTTTATCTTTCTATTTATTTATTAGTTAGTGATTTTGGCAGTGCTCTGGTAAGTTTTTACCTCTTTCTCTGGTTACATGAACGACCCAGACGAACCTGGGGGCTCCGTCCCCCAGGTTTCGTACAATGTCACTATAGCTAATAATTATTCAGCATTAGATACTGAAAGTTCATGCACGGATGGCTCCGAACATTCTCAAAATAAATCTAAACGTTTAAAACGGGCCTCTGTACCTAAGTATTGTAAACACTGTAATAAAAAGAGGAGACGTCATCATAAAAGCTCTACAGTTCCTTCACTTGACTCATGTGAATGTCACTCGGAATCTCATTCCGAAGTAATAATTCAGTCAAAACAACAACCAAACAAATTCAATGATACTACTGCTAAAAACTCTGTGCCAGTGTCAAACTCACCAAACTCACTTGATGTTGATTTTGAGAACAATAATTCCAATTCTCAGCGGCTACCAATTGGCAGAAATCTTTACCAGGCATCTGATGTTTCTCCTTATGTCATACACATACAAAAAGAAGAGATAACTTCCAATCAAAGTACCTCAATTCACCCGGTTACTCTTGGTTTGTTTTTGAAAAAACATGGTTTTAAAAACATAATAAATGGCAGTTTAAAACGTATTGGCAGAAATCGTGCAGCTATTTCCTTTTGTAATTATGAGGATGCCAATTCATTCTTAAGTAGTACTGTCTTGTCCAACAATCGCTATAAAGCATTTATTCCAACATCAAATGTTACTCGCATGGGAGTAGTGAGGGGCATTCCAACCAACTGGACTGATGAGGAAGTCATACAGAATATTACAGTCCCTATAGGTTGTGGCAACATTCTTAAAGTAAGGAGATTGAAAAGGAAAACTATTGGAAAAGACACAGTTGAATACATACCTATAGAGACTGTAGTTCTCACATTTGATGGACAAGTACTTCCAAAGAGAGTATTTATGTGTTACAATTCTCTGCCTGTGGACTTATACATTTTCCCCACTATACAATGTTACAAATGCTGCAAATATGGTCACATTAAGTCACAGTGTAGATCTCTTCCCAAATGTTTTAAATGTGGTCATGACCACTCGGGTGACAGCTGTTCAGTTGATGAAGAGTTTGTTAAATGTTGTCTGTGTACAGGTTCTCACTTTGCGACCAGCAAAAAATGTCCTGAGTTTTCCCGTCAAAAGCAAATTAAAGAGACTATGGCTAAGAATTGTATTTCTTATTCTGAGGCTTTAAAATTACACCCTCCTCTTGGTAAGTCTTATGCTGATGCTTTGACAACAGTAGCCCCAGTGAACACAAATAGACCAGTTTTGAAAAATACATCTGATAGTATTCCCAGCAGGAGTTCATATAAAAAAACAGTATTTCTTAAGCCTAGATCCCCTCCAGTAATTAGTCCTGGATATGATAAGGCCTCTCATGATGCTCTTATTAAAGATTTCAACATAAACTTTCCTTCATCCGGCACTGCTTATAAGGATTCAAGTAAAGACTCTTTACTATCTGATATTATGTCTGTTAAAGAACTTATTATCACACTTATTAATTCATTGTCTCATTATAATTCAAACTTCACACCGACCAACGCTGCCTCATCCCAAAACTCTGTAAGTAATAAAAATAATAATTTGCATGATAGTACTTTTAATAGTAATTTTATAAATAATAATGAATTCAGTGGTAATTCAGTGGAATTGCCGCAGTATTTACAGTAAAAAATCAGATTTGTTTCATTTAATTAATAAATATGACCCTTTAGCCATTTCTCTCCAAGAGACTTGGCTTAAATCTAGTAGTTGTTTTAAGGTAGCAGGCTATGCCTGCATTAGAGAGGACCGTCTAGATGGCTATGGTGGTGTTGCACTGCTGATCAAGCATTCTTGGCCTTTCAAACACATTCCCATTCCTATTCATAATGATGATTATTCCATTATAGCAGTTTCTGTAAACGGCATTTGTTTTGTTTCTATTTATATTCCACATCCATCCTCTATTATATATGATGAAATTTTACTCAGTATTTTACCTTCCCTTCCAAAACCCATTTTAATAATGGGAGATTTCAACGCCCAGCATGCTTCTTGGGGTAGTTCTTCCTCTAATTATTACGGTTCAAGAATCTTAGATTTTTTAGATGTGAATAACTTATGTTTACTAAACTCCGGGGAACCTACACGTCGCACTGCTAGTTCTGAAGGATTCAGCGCTCCTGATCTATCCATATGTTCTCCTTCCTTAGCGTCATCTTTAACTTGGNAAAGGAAAAAAAAAAAAAAAAAAAAAACACAATTTGAATTTGACAGAAATGACAACCAGTCAAAAAATCCGCTGCTATTAGATCGTCTGATAAATAACATAATATTACATTAATATGCAGCCAATAACTATAATAAGGAGGTTTTCTTTATCAAGACCTGTTAAAGAGGCGTTTGTCGAAGAGTTGCAGAAAAATTTCATCCCTACCAACACATTTCAGAGAACGTTGTTATCATGCGGATCGGCAGCTATTTCTCTTTTAAATCCCTACAGAGGTGACATGATTGCTTGCTTAGGAGAAGTTACTGGAGAGAGTGCTATCAAACATATGAGAGACAAAATGCTGGAAACATCTGAAGGGGCTGCTATCTTGAAGGATATGCCCAGGATAAACTCAAAAACAGTGTCATTCGAAAAGCTATCCGAAATGCCTGAAAACACATTAGGTCGTGTCTATGCCGACTTTATGCGGGACAACAATATCACAGCAGACTCCCGATTACCAGTGCAATTCATAAGTGACCCAGAGTTGGCATTCATTATGCAGAGATATAGGGAAGTTCATGATCTTGTACATGCTACACTATTTATGAAAACAAACATGCTAGGAGAGGCAAGTATTATCATAGTTCGTAAGTTTAGTCACCAGCACAACTGTTTTTCCAAAATAACACTTACTAAACTACTTTAGATGCCACTGTAATTAATTAGATTGATGTGCCATTATTATTTAGAAATATGTAACTACTACTGAATCTTATTGGGTTTGCTGTAGGTCACTGTGAAGTGGATTGAAGGGATCCAAACAAAGTTGCCCATGTGCATCAATGGTGGCATTTGGGGAGCTGGTCGACTCTTGCCTAAGCACAGACAAATGTACCTGAAGTATTACTTGCCATGGGCCATTAGAACTGGAAATAATGCAAAATTTATGCAAGGTAGGAAATATTGAACAATACATAATATCTTGTATTTGATATTACCAAGAATAGTAATTATGTATTTTTTTGCAGGCATATATTATGAAAAAAGATGGGACCAAGATATTGATGAGTTCCACAAAGAAATGAATATAGTCAGGTTCCTTAAAAAATAGAGCCCTAAATATTAAAATCCATATTAATAAACTTGTAAATAGTAGATTTAGCCAAGACAAATGAACTATGCAATACTAAATTTAATGAATGTGTGTAATAAATATTGTTTATTACAAAATGATTGTGCATCATTATTTTTTGAAGTGAAGAATAGTCTGAGACATATGAGAAATTTAGTTAATAGCTGACCTGTAGTCCAGTATTGGTATCAATTTTAACAATTGGCATTTAAATGCCTATTCCTGTTTATGTCATCAAAATATTTTTATGTGTAGTATGAATAATAAAACCAAATATTGACCTTACATACTTTAATCTTGTAAGATATAATTTTACATATACATATATCATTTACTTACATAACAATTTGAACATTTAGAATCATAACAACATTTCGGAACTACGACCATGTGCATTGTGTAGAGGTGTTGTACGATTGCCTACTTCAACAATCCACTCGTACCAAACTCTTCGTGAGTCCACACATCGCCAGAAAGTAGCTGTAATTATTTCACCTTTTTCCACCCTCAATGGAGTCTGAAAAAAATTTAGACATTTTATTTTGCAAGATCTTTGAAAATAAAACCATCAATAAACCCTAAAATCTCATTTAAAAAATGAATCAACTACAAATGGATCAACTTCTGATTTCTGTATCAGACAGCAGAAACAGTGTTGCCGCATTGGTGATACTCATTATGTTTAAATGTCCTACGTATGTACCTTTATTGGAATGAAAACTGGAAACCAGGATATCATGCCTGGACTGTGTGTTGATGGAACTATACTAATCATTTCAGATCCAAATAGCGTACAATCAAAATATCCTCCAAAGCCATGCATAACATTGTCTTGTTCCACTGTCCAGGTTACAGTGGCTGATCGTCTATTATCTGTTTGAGGTAGTCCACGGTAATCAGCCAGCTCCTCGCCTTCATGATCGCAAGCACCTTTAGCAGGATGTTCAAAAGTAAATACCATCTGAAAAATATTTAATGTTTTTTGTCTCATTCAAATTAAAATTGACTTAATTTTCTCCCAGCACTGGAAACCTAATGTACAACAAAAATCCAAGGGATATAAAATAATGTACCTTTGTCTCTGCAATATCATGTTTATTTTGCATATAAACAACCCACAAGTTTTCCAAGTTTTTGTCTTTGTTATTAGCAGGGCCTGAAGTTGCAGCTTTAGCTGCTGCCCATAGCCGTGGCGAAGAAATAGGTGCAACGAAAGATCTATAAGAGGATGGAATTGATATTCCTCCTGGCTTTAAAAGACCTGCTGCACCATCTAAACACTCGGGAGATAGTTCGTTATCACCCCATGACCCTGGAAATATTATAACAATAACAGTCATATCCAACATAAAAATATACTACCTGTTCGCGCTAAGTTTGCCAGTCTGTGGAATGCGCGTCCCCTCCCCCAACCGCGATTAAAGGCAATTAGTGATTAAACGCAATTAAGTGTCTTATTTTACGCAAATACACAATTTTTATCAATATGAATAAATAAAAAATATTTTCAATATAGTTTGCTATAGTTATAGTAGACGCTTTCCTTCGAGTGACGTCATATCGCCAGCGGCAAACTTATCGCGAACGGATAATACACCTACTCTTTCTCAGTACCTACATACCTAATAATTCGGAAACAATGATATCGGCTTTCGGAGATAAATTCAGGTGTCTCATATCTCCTGGGATGACCACTACGTCTCGGTCTCGCCATACTTCCCGGACTTGCGCTGCTAAAACCACTACAGCACAAGGATTTTTTTCTACAGCAATCACCTGTAAAATACATAATTATTCTTAAATATAATTATTTAACATAAACATTGCCACATAGCTTTTTAACTATAACAGATATTGCAGTCATACCTTGACTTTACTGTTCGTAATATCGGCTGCATTAAATGTAGCTCTCACTAGTGGACCACGTCCAGCACCAAGTACCATCACAGTAATAGTTTTTTTGTTGTCACCTTGACCCATTTCGCCCTCAATCTGAAAAATTACTTTTTATGATAATAATATTCAGTTTTTGTTTTGTGAGCTAATCTTCACTACAAGATGTATGATGAAATTCAAAAACTTACAATTTCAGCATTATCAGATGACTTCTTCTGGAGGTGGATTAAAGCTTGAGCGATAGCCTTCTGATATTGGTCATACTTCACAGGATCCTTTTCAAACACATTATATGTGTGTGTATCTAAATTGTCCGCCAGTGGTTGCAATGGTATTTGCAGGTAATCTTCCCATCTGAGACAATAAATTTTGTTTTAATACAAAAGTAAATATGCTGAACTATAAGACATTAATATTCCATGATGTAATTTTGAGTAGAAAATAAACTTTAAAAAAATTGATACCCTCTGGCATAACTGAGCATAGGGTCATCAGCAGGGTTAGGCCTTCGTTTCCACAGTCTGTACAAGTACTGTAAGTAGAACTCCACATTGGATCTCCTGGCTCCGCTGACAATCACTTGTGCTTCATGCTCCACCATGCTCACAACCAGATGCTGATGAGCTCTGGATAGAACTGGAAATCTAAAAAAATACAACAAATTTATCAAATGTCCTATAATGAGATATTGAAGGCTTATTTCTGATCTATGAACAATAGTGTGTCTTAGGATTTTTATTAGGTTCTTCTTACCCCTTTTTATTGTTGTGGAAAATAGATGTAGGAATCACAATTGCCTTTACTGGTTCCCCTAGCCACCTTTTCAGCAACTCTTGTGACGGTAAATCTGCAGAGAGCTCTAAAACAACACCAACCCTTTTATCATAATTCAGACGCTCATGAAACTTAGACCACCACAGCCATGGCTCATTCCATGCAGACTCTTCATCGTCTTCATCGCATTCAGGTACAGACCGCAATGTTTTGGTGCACACTAGAGGTACTTGAACCCATATCCAAGATGAAAAGTGACTGAAAATTAAATACTTTCATTACATTAAAGTTTAAGATCCAGGGTTATAGCATGATCTGATGTATCCCTGATGCATACCTATTTTCATAGAAGGAGTTCAGAATTCTGGCTAAGTTACTGTTATTTCTACCATTCAATGTCATCATAATCGCTGGTAACCCAAGTCCTCTACAATATGCAAGTTCTTCATTTAAGCAGTCTTCGTGCCTTTGCCGTACAAGCGGCAGCGGGGAATCTGCGTCCAGATAAGGTGAAACTTTTCCTACCACTCGACTAGTCCAGTCCTGGGGCGATAATATCATATCAGATCGAGTAAAGCCACCAACTCTACCGGCACTGGATGTGAATGGCCTACGAAAACGTGGGTGAACTATCGGAGATACTATAAATGAATAATTTGAATGCAAAGCTTCTGTAAGACATGCTTGTAGATCTGGTGTCACTACGTATTCTAAGCCACATGATATTTCTAATTGAGACATTATTCTCACTCAAATGATTCAAAATTTAACACTGATCTGAAACATGCAGCCAAACAAAATTGACAAAATTCAGAAAAAAAAACTACCACCCATAGACTAAAGAGCTGTGGTACGGTGGTACCGTGATTGTTTTGCCCTTGGTAATTTTAGAAAAAAAGTTGCTAACTATTGATATACACCCATTAATAGAAAAAATCGATTAACGGGGTGATAAAAATAAATTCCTTCACAGTGCCTAGTTTAAAAAAAATATCTCTGTCTATCCATCTATCAATGTCATTGTATTGTCAAAGTCTCGAAAATGAGATTGTTTTTTTTCTTTCTTCATCAAATCCCAAAGAAACAAATACAAATTAAATTAGCATTCTAGTAACTAACTGTTGGGCGGAGAACATGGATGAAAAAAACCCATTGGGTTATAGTTTATCTAAATCACACCACATCCACACAAATAAAAGTGGAAGGCCATCATCACAAACAAACTTATTAAGATTTGGTCCTCAACCAGTGTCTCTTGTATCACAGATGTTAAAAAAAATCAAAGAAGAATGTGAAGAAGATTCAAAATTAAATGTTTCTTTGGAAGTATTATACAAAAGTCAAGAAAAATGCATAAGACTTGAAAATTGTGATTCAGCTTTTCTTCAGACGTAAGTTTGCAAAAATCAAGTTTTCTAAACTTCATAACTTATAAAAGTCGTTAGAATTCCTGTATTATCCAATGTTATATTTTTTTAAAAATTAAATAATATCATTATTTATTTCCCCTATTTCAGTGACCCTGAGCCAGAAGTGGATGTTACTGAAACCACCATAAAAAGTGAAGACAAAAAGAATAAAATTTATTCATGTGACTTTCCCAACTGTAAATATGTGTGTAAATTGTCTTGTAATCTTATAAAGCACAAACGGACTCATACATCAGAAAAACCGTTTCTATGTGATTTATGTTCATTTCGATCTAATTTTGTTAACTCACTGAAAGTTCATCGTAGGATACATACAGCTGAGAGACCGTATGCTTGCAAACATTGTAGTTATCGCTGCAATAGCAGTTCTAACTTAAAAAAGCACTGTAAACATAAGCATAGAGATATTTCAACAATAGTTGATAGACCAGAGAACAATATTGATGCCAAATCCAGACTAAAAATAATAATGTGACATATTTAAAATATTATAGTGAATAAAGACAAGTTGTACCTACAATCTACATTTATTTTTATTTGTACAAAAATTTTGTCCTTTTAAATTAGTGAAAACTTTATAAAAAATACTTTTTTATATCATCTCTTAAATACACCTCATTTTCATGCCTAAGTAGGTAACTGAACCTGGCCCTCCACAAAATTGTTGGACACTACTGGTTTAGATCTTACAGCCTTTCCACACTGGCGCATTACAAGCGTTTTCACGGATTCTCAATGTTTCCGCCTCGAGTTCGGCGTCTCCGCTCCGCTTTGAAAACGCTTGTAATCCGCCAGTGTGGCAAGGCCCTTAGGCCCCGTAAATATAAATTATTTTTAAACTTTTATCAATCAAGGATGTTCAAGGAATAGTTCATGCCTTTAATATACCTAATTAATTTGTTAAAAAAATTTGTTAAGGTTACCATAATTTTGTTCAAGTAAAACAAAGAAACTTAAAAGCATATTTTACTATATTTCATATATAACTAGCCTAAAATATTATGTATATTATCCTAAAACGTATATATCTGGTATAAACAATGCTGCCCAAAAAGTACCTACTTAAACAAAATCTGTCCTCTTATAACGTGATAATATACACCATGGAGTCGGTTCACGATTTGAGCGTATAACAGAGCGAGGTCGTAATTAACTAATAATACTAGTCTGGTTCACGTTCGCGGTATTCGGTGTATCAGTGACAGTGTTCAGTGAAGTCGACCACGACTGATTCGCGCCAGCCGAAGAGGAAGTAGCCAGTGGCCGAGCCGAACACTACTGCCGCACACAGCCACGTATTGTAGGTCATGAACACAAGCATGAGCATGTAGCTCACCAGGACCTGGACCCCGTGCAGAAACGTTTGCCACGCGTGCGCTGTACTCAGCATTGTTGGCCTGCAAAAGTTAAGACAGGTCAGTAAGTTATTTTATCCTTAATGAAGTTAATTTATCCACGAATCGCCCTACTAGGAAAACAAAATTGATCTAAACTAAAATACAGGGTGTTCACAAAGTAAAATATTCTAAAAAAAGTACTTAGTTAAATCGCTATTCGGGCACAAGAATCATCTTCCGAACGATTTCAATAAACAAATAACATCGAGAACATCACAAAAAAAAGTTGAGGAGAAAATAGATAGGTATTTCATATATTTTTTTAGGGAAATAATACCACAGAATTAACTAATAACATAATTTACTTACACATTTCTTTCTAGCACGTGAGGAACTGGCCTGTAAATAAAAATAATAAAAAAAATTAAATGGTCACAAATTATTAACAAAAATACGTAATTGCAAAACATAATAACTTATAACATGGCTTTCTAATAAAGGAAAAAAGTAAGATTTACTTAATGGCCGTAGCCACTTTACCTAAAGCATAATACATAATATGTTACCTTTTATGGTAAGTAATTAGCGATTACGAACTCATAACAGTAGGTAGGTAGGTACTAGAACGAATGTTAACACTGTCGGCATCATGTTATTTTTAATAGTGCGTGTTATTTTATGACTACAAAAAGCAAAATTCACATTTAAAAGTTTTACCATTTATTAAATTCTTGCAAAATATTTTAATAGATAGGAGGTAGGTATTAGAATTGAAAACGAGTAACGAACAAAATAGTTCGCACTAATTAATTTTAAATTACCTAAATGAAAGTATTATTATTATGAAATTTAGTTATTACCTACCTAATGACGTTACCATTAACTAAGTTACTATCTAGAGCATATAAGCTGTTTAAAACTTATTCTAATCGCGAAACGGAAAGTAGCGTATTGCATTTGCATGTAAAGTGAGTGTTTGTATGTTTATCATTGTAAACAACGTGGTTATTGTTATTTTATCATGTGTTGTTCGCACCGCAATGGCGCTACATTTTAATGACTAGTCGATGCCCGCAGATCTACCGCTATTTAACCACCTATATTAAATACAAGTAAGTGCTCCCACACCTCACACCACTTGAAAATTTTGACAGAGCAGTCATCCGGCAAGGGAATATTCGTGGGTCGATTTTATAAAGTAAAAAATTCGGTACCATTAACTTGTGCCAAAACTCTTGTCCAATAAATATTAACTATATTAAAACCTATTTATGTCTCACCATGCTTACTCGTTGCCTAAGTATGAAGGTAAAACTTTATTACTTTTAGAAATCCGTGACTAATAAGGACAACATGTCCATAAAATTAGTGGGTACAATTTCCAATGCAGTGACATAGGTACATCCGCTTAACTATCTCGAACTATTGTTCATTGTTAGTGTCAAACGAAACACTGTAGATCAATCACTGAGGAACTGGTTTGCGCGCAAGGCTAAGTCACATAATTACACCTTAAAACAGTGCAATAAGAATAAAGAACATAATTTACTCAACTGTATAACTTGAGGTTCATCTGCTGCACAAATATTAGAAACTCCTTTGTCAGGAGGCGAGACAGCACAATACTGAAGCCCTGTATATGTTTTCCAAAGTAAATGTTTCCTGTAATATTTGAGTCTGAAATAGAAAATACAAAAATATAATCACCGTTTCGAATAAGTACTTACATAGGAGATAAGTTCACTTCACTTATCAGTGAGTTCAGTAAAGCAGAAAATACAAACAAATGTTATCTCATCGCTGGCGTGGGTATTTATTTATACTTACTGTATTATTGAGTATTTGGATATAATACCCAACATTGATAACTAACTATCGAACAGATTGTTGTAATGAAACAGAAATATTTAGGCGGATATTACTGTCGTTACGACCATTACAGTAAATATCGACAAGTAGAACGTTGATATACAGACTGTCAACCTAACGCAAAATTTTAGAAAAATCGCTGTACAATTCTATTGGCAAATAGGCTTGCAAGAAAAAAATGATAGAAGAAACTTACCCTTCATAAAGTAGAGCCATGAAAAATATTGCAAAGAATGAGCCAACAAATTCTCCTACTTCAGTAACATCCCACCACGAAAATAGAATCTTTTCAACGTAGCCACCATGAAACTGGAAACATTAAAGACGTTTCATTATATCTTAATTTGGTAGTTTAATACAACTACATACAATTCAACTTGCAAAATTATTATATTTCGACAGTATAGTTACGTGCTTGTAATATAATTTCAACACTCAACATTCTATCAACACTTTATCGGAATTTGGAAATTTAGGTTTAGTATTGGCGATACTTTGTCTACAAAATCTACGAGGAACTGATTGCTGAAGTAGTCGTAACATATAATATCATGTTTGTTATTTTAAATCAATACTTTAACTTTAAAAATGGCAACGCAAGCAATAGTCTTAATAGAATTTAGGTGAAAGAAAAGGTTGACGGTTAGTTTATCGGGACTATTTCCACCTCTCGTTCCCTCTGCTGCCACTCCTGGTAGTCATGATCTCCAAGTATCCGAAAGAAAGCTAAGTTTGTCTATAAGGGACAAGACTAGTCATCTGTTAACCGTTAGTTTAGTAGGCAATCGTTCTTCAAAGCATACGTACAGTCATCGACATCATGCTGTGACCACTGCCGCTACCGTGGTCGTGGTGTCCGCTCCCATGGCTTCCGTGGCCACTATGACCGCTATGGCTTTCAGGGCTTCTGACGTCGGACCTATAGTTCATACTGCTCATGTCTTCACTTGTATTAAACATATCCTGGGTAAAATAAATCCAATTAAAGATATTATGTTAGACAAAATCAGAGTCTGAACGGTAACGGAGTATAAATAATTAATCGTAATAACTCGTAAATATTGAATCAACGAATTACAAAATAATGACTTTAGACATCGTACTCGTTGTTTAAAATTAATAACTAGCAATTTAAAAAAAAAGTTTTATTACGACTGTTATAAAGAAAACAGTGCCAGCATCAATTTGTGAAAAATATGAAAGAATTATAGTGCGAAAACGATATTATTAATGGCAGGTCAAACAAATTGAAATGGTTGATGGTCCCTTTAATGACACATCTAGCAAAAACTTCCCGCAAAGTGAAATTTAATGAAACATTAATTTATTAATGAGAATTCTTCTAATAAATGGGTATTTCATGAGATACCTGATTTTAATTGATATCCGTGTTAGCAGGAAAGTTATCAGTTTATCCTTAATTTTAATTGTCATGATTGGGAAACCTAACTTTAAAAGTAACTTTTATTGATCATAATTATGACGTAAAGGTACGAAAGTTGCCAAAATTAATGATAAATGATGTAAAACTCTATCAATAGTTTGCAAAAGTCCAAAAACTCACGTTTATTGTGTTCCCAATCAGATGGGTGATATTTCGTTGATGTTCTTCGTGCATTGCGTGTGCCATATCATGATTCATATTGCTATGATCCGCATGCCCCGTTTCATGATTCGAATGATCCATATGTAAATGATGATCCATTTTAGCCGTTAGCTACTGGAAAGAATCATTATATTTTAATTTATGAAGAGGTTTTTTTAACATTTAACGGTAAATTCAACGTTAAAACTAATATTATTTAGATTAATGTTAAACTTAACAAGTGTCCACCTCCAAATTCAAAAGCAATATAGTGATACAGTGAACGGTTCAACTACATAATGGGAGTTCGATTGTTTTAAAAACCAGTCTTGAAGCAGGTGGAAGTTTATTAAACATGTATGTTAAAACCAAAAATAGATTTAGCTACCACGCTCTTAATCACAGGCCAAATAAATATTACAATGATTGGTTATGACGTATATTATGTTAACAATGACAAAATATGCAACATTACACTTTAATGACTCGATTAAAATTTTGCTGCGTTGTTGCTTGACCACGTGTTATATCGTAATGAATCAATTAATTGGGTAATAATAAGATCGCTTGTCTACAATAAAATTATTACATAATACTACCTCAGTTAGTGTGCTTGTAAAGCACTGTTGTAAACTTAATTTCTTTACCAATGGTGTAACTTTCTGAGGAGGTAATGGACACAACAGCGCACCACGCCAAAATTCACTGTAACGCCGTTACCGCGCGTGACGGA